GGTATAGTGCAGTGGAGTGAGCACAGCGAGAATGGAGACAGAGAAGTGGTTGGGGGCGTTCTGTATCAATACACAGTGAAAAATTTCTCCGCATCCAAGGAACACTGTGAACGGTTGTTTGACGATCTCGTGACAGAGAGCAAAGTCCAGGAAAAAGTCGCAAATGCTGTGAGCAATTCGGAATGCCTTGATATCCGAGACGACACCAGGCATATAACAGAAGAATACAACCAAAGGGCTGTAGGACCAGCAGCCGGTGAGGTTCTGGAGAGAGGTCTGTCAGAACTGAGTCGACTCTCAGACATACTCGAGAAGATTCCGGGCACACCGAGAAACGTAAAAGTTATCGGAGTGGGGAGTGATCGCATCAAATTGAGCTGGGATCCTCCGGAACGCAATCCAGGGGCAGTCGATGAGTATCTGGTGTGCAAAAAGGCTCATGGCGGAGAATGGGAAGAGGCAGTACGAACTGAGAAGAGGAGGGTTCTGGTGAAGGGTCTGGAGACAGGCACTAGTTACGAGATGTGTGTATTGGCCACAAACTCTCAGATTCAGGGTCGTGCGAGAGAGAGAGCAGGTGTCTGGACTAGACCTGGAGCAGCTGACGGTGCAGCACATGGAGCTCTTGCCTTCTTACCTGGAGTTGGACTTCTAGTCGCTTCAACGGGGAAGTTAAAACCTCTAGGAGCCAGAGGAGGACAACAACTAGACAATAGTGTCATCAAACGCAAACGACGCAATGCTGCTGTCACAGGCCTTGCAATAATAACTCTCTCACTCCCATTCTCCATTTTCATTGCACCTTTAGCTCCAGTTGGAGCTGTAGTTTTTGCAGTCGGAGCAATGGGCTCAAAAACTGGCGACCTAACTGAAGAATGAGTATCAGTATTTCATGTTATTTTGATACTGTATGTTCATGCATGAGTGTGTGCGCTTTTTGCAATTTATTTTCTACTTTTGTTCTCACTCCTGATCGTATGCAAGGTGACTGTATATGTAAATGTCTCCTTGAAATTTCAGGAAAGGGCTAGCAATCAATTGTCGAGAGCAATTGCAAAAAGGGTTTATCCACAAGAAGTGGAACCAAAAAATCCACGAAATTAACAAACCATGATTCCAAACATACAGACTGTATACTGCACCCAGTTGTATAGGGCACCCACCAACTCACCAGGTAGAAAACAGCACTCCAACCCTCCAGAGTGATGAGCTGAAACACGGTCAGCAGTCCCTTCCGGAAGTCCTCGAAGGAGACGAAGCCATAGTTTGGGGCCCTCGCCCCACTCTTGGCACTGGCTGTTGCCGGGACAACGATGGACTCCGAGTCCGCCGTCTCCTCTCATCGAACAGGGGAACTCACTTACGACCACCGACTGGAGCTCTCCTGTTGGCAGGGTCAGGGAGAAAATGGAGGGATGGTATACAGACTAAATGTGTTACCATACAGGTTTTAAAGAGATGGGGTGGGAATGATGCATACTGAGACACTTCAACACCAAGCATAGTTGGCCTATACTTTCTCCCCGCTAAACTTCAGGTCACTTCAGGGTTGTTTTGCACTCTGCACTCTCTAGTCATACGCAAGGTGTCTAGGTTGGTTGATTGGCTTGTCTTTCCCCCACATTGCTTGCTAAAAGTACGAAAACTTTAGCCATTTTCCACAGTCACTCTTTGTACAGCTATACTCAAGGTGTTCAGGTTGGTCGGTCCACCAAGTTGCTTGCCAACAGTATGCCATTTTCCACAGTCACTCTCTTTACTGCACTCTCCAGCTACACTCGAGGTGTTGGGTATATTTGTTGGCCTGTCTTTCCCCCCAATGTTTGCTAAAAGTACGAAAACTTTAGGCCTATTTTCACAGTCACCCTTTGTACTGCACACAAATTTCCACTGCTTAAATATTTCCTGGTGTTCTATGGTTCACACCAACCAGTTAGCCTCGGGTATACATTGTATACAAAAGGTTGCAGAGGATGTGGGTACTACCTGAGATCACTTACCAGTTGGGTCGGTGTAGTTTGCGAAGCAGCCGTTATGGAGGCCGCAGCCCTGGAACAGCTCCATGCCGAGGAAGGTGAAGAAGACCATTACACACAGTTGAATCACGCTCACAAACACCAGCGGTATCATTGACTTGGCCAGTGCCTTCAGAATGAACCTCACCGCTGCAGGAATAGGGCAGCAGTGTCTTGAGGCAAGCCCATCCCAAGCATGCGTCTGTGCATGGTGCAGTTATGACACACCGCAGCTTGGCACAATAACTTCTTTTTATTCAGGCAAACCACCATCCCCCAGTGCAAACTTCAACCTCACTTTTTCAGAAACTAAGAAATTATTCGAGGCTTGTGTATGTAGCATAGAGGGTGCTAATTTATTGTGGGCACATAAGTACACATACATAAATTCGATAGCCTTCACTACCATATATAACAGGCTTATGATTGGGGCAGAAACCCTTTCAATCTTTCATGCTTTACGCGTGCACGAGAATGAAAATTAGGCGACCAAACCACTTGAAAACCAGCTATAGTATGTGGTCAATGTTGAGTTACTTTTGAAAACGCTGAGGACTCTGATGAGTTTGATGGCCATGAGAGCTCCGAACACATCTGCCCACTCGTACACTCTGGCCAGGGTCAGGATCAGGTAGAGAAATCTGCAGGCAGCCGAATATAAACATCCAAGGAAACTTTTTGCACACTGGACTTAATCTGGACACCAATTTTATACAATTGTCTACATCTGGTGAGGTGTTCTGCATGCTATAACTGTTCTTGGGCAAAAGGTGTCTTGCGTTCATATAAGGGGTTTAGAGAGGGGTTTACTATAGATGTGAGAGTGGGTGGGACAGTGTACCCAAATAGGATTGGAAAGAGGTCGAGAATGTTAATGGAACTGCGGAGGTAGGCCTTTGGGTGGAAGATAAGGCCATAGGCGACGATCCTCATCCCTGACTCCACCACATAGGCCAGAAGGAATAGTATGGAAACATATGCCTGGGGGAGAGGGGAAGAAGGAGGATGGGGGAAAGGAAGATAGAGACAGAAAGAGATGTGGCAGAAATATAACATACACGAGGAAGCAAATGAGGAGTATACACAAGGATATAGAGTGGGGCATTGTTTAGAATTCAAAAAGAGGTGAGGATGGTAGCAACAGGAGAGAGAATGGCAGAGAAGCACAGACGAGGGGAGATATAAGCACAGAGATACATTGTGCATTGTAAGGGCTATACTGACACACGAAAGGTCAATATAATATTGCTCAATGGATAAAGACATCACCGTAAACAGAGCACTCAATGGACAATTCATTTCCTAGCTGTAAACAACACATAGCTTGAGAAGGGTGTGTACAAGATCCCGGCAATGGTCCCTCACAGTAACGAGGTTCTGGTCTTTGTAGTCGCCCCACTCTGTGGGCTCGTGGACAAACAGCAGGATCAGTGCATTCACTAGAACCACAACTGCAAAGAACATGTTGAAGAATCTGCAGACTCTGGTCAAGGATTAATGCGTGTATCTACACCTCGCTAAACAAACACCCTTCTCAACTTGGTCTCTATAACTAATAGATATTATATTGGTAGTAGCCCCCCTTGCAGCACGATCGCTGCGCTGGCCGGTGCATACATTTGACGGGCAATATGTAGGTCAGGGTGCAACTCAATAGCAATTGGAGGGAGATACGACATCCAATTGAGAGCAATGCAGAGTTGCACACAGAGAGGGGGGAAATAGTAACATGTTACAAAAGTTGCCAGAACTCACTTCACCCAGGATGGTGTACCATTATATGCAAGCACTCTAAAAAAAGCATGCAACCATGAACATTGAACGTAAATTTTAAGGTGGATACTTTGACTTGACGGCTTTCTTGACGTTTTTCCTGAAGCAGTTGTTTTTGTGGAAGATGAGCAGTGAGTAGTCCAGGGACCCACGGCCCAACCTCTGCAGACAGGCCCGCAGCCACACCACTACCAGCGAGACCTTGGGGTCGGGAAAGTCCGTCTTTGGGGCTCCGACATGTGTGATGTAGCTCTTGACCATCTGTCGGTGGACATCGTCAATGGACTTTGACCTCCCATGTCGGAATGGCGATGCCGTCTCTAGTTTGCTGTTGGCCAGGTAATGGTAAATGGTGCGTTATGATGTGGCTTGTTACTGCTAATACCTACATACATACGTACATGTGATATGTGTGCAGAAATGCCAGATACATCAGCATTAGCCGTATTATAGTGCCAATGTGCAGCACATTAGCTAGCTATGTTGCTTACGATCCGATGCGGAACTGCTTTCATATTTGCTTTTGATGACACTCTTGTGTGTACAAAGCTTAATCGTACTTTTAAAAAATATGGCAATTATGATTAGCTAGGCTTTGTTTACGTGTACACAGCTGAAGATACTGTAATAGCTGGCTAAGTATACGTATTTGAAGCTACCTTTCGTCTGAGCTCGACAGGGTCAAGATCTGATCATCCCTTAGCCTTTGCGCCATAGTCAGGCAGTCCCTTGGGCACGTACGTCGCTCCCAGCTTGTCTGAAGGGATAAGATACCATAGCTTGGGAGTCAGTAGAGTGAAAATGGGTGGAGGATTCTTGTTTGCTGACGTTGCAGAATGAAGGGTAAACCCCTGTAAATTAGCTTGCGTAAACGCAGGATGTGCTCTAAATAGAGATGCCCTGAGTAAAACATCCGCACCCTAAGAACCCGGGCGTCGCTGTCGTGGGGAACTGGCTGCCCATCGAGGAGGCGTGCGTTGACTGAGGAGTCCCGTATTAGTCCTGTTTCAGTTGGCTACTTGAGCCCGAGACTTTACAGGTACGTGGATCACTCGTGGGGCACTTCGGCAATGTCGTAATTGGTCAATCTGTTGTCCATTTCGTACCAGTTATCACGGTTCAGGGCGCGCTGGATAGTGGCCCGTGTATATACGTTTAACAGCTCCACAATTTTAACTGGCTAACGTTGTTTCTAAGTGCCCTTCTGGGCTGGCCAAATTTGGGTCCCCACCTAAGGCTGCTCTCTTTCTTTGCAAAAGCGTAGATCTGGGTGTTGTTGAATTGTTTTGCATTGACACAGTATCTCCAGAACAAGTTTTCCCTTTCAGCACAAAACCCTACCCCTATACAGTATTTCTATACAATGTATAGGGCATCTGTTCACTGTAGTAGTGCACCACAAACAGCTTTGAGTCATAGGGATAGGGTCTTCTTAAAGCCATGGACCCCAGGACTAATGTACTGTATACATAGCTCCAGGTACTTTCAAGAAAGGGAGGACACCTCTTGTGTGATTAGGTAGCAAAACAAACCTTTTGCACATTGCGTACATGGCGTTATTGAGCACGTGCGTGTCCGAAGGTCTATGCGTGTTAGGCAGATACGTGTACAAGTCTTTCAGTCGAGCCAGTGTATTCGCTATTGACCGTACTTGGCTCCCGTGAGTGTGATTATAGCCAAACAGGGAAGGTTTTATTGCCAGAGTTGTGGGGACGGTTCCAGTGGTTTTCTGTGAATAAGGCTTGCTTCTTTACAGGTCATGTATTCCATTACTTTGTTCCCATAGTAATATGGCCTTTGTTGCCCCTAGCAATGTTCTCCCAATCTGTCTTCCCATAGATACCAATTCTCCACAGTCAATTTAGTCCGGGTGTACGTACATGAGTTGTGATGGTGATTGCACCCCAATTAAGGCAGTGTAACAAATCCGTTAGCCATTGATCCCCTTTCATCATTGGCCTACCTCCCAGTACACCACACCCATTCCGTTGTATGTATATAGTTTTGGTTCATTGAAAGCATGTACTACTGTAGGTCTGGGTCAAGAGAGTCTGTGTATTTCATTTCCTGTTTGTTGGCAACTTTTGTTTCCGTGGCTGGCAACAAGTACGTATATAAGTTGCATCATAGCTAGGCTAAGGCTTATTGCATCATGGTATGTGTTACTACTACTGACATTATGAAGTCCAACCCAAGTATATACTACGACATACAGAAGGCAGGTATACACCTGCTCTAAAGAGCAACATGCACATCATAAGAATGCATACGTACTGTATACACGCGCACTGTTTCCTACAACAGGCAACTATGCATTACATGGCCATGTGTGTCGTGTTGTCTTTAGCTCTCCTGGCATCTGTTGTCACTACTACATTCACAGACTCTTGAATGTGGCCACAGTATTGGCATGGTACAGATATACCCACTGTAGAGCCAGTACTATATACCAATAGTAGAAGAGAGCTTTATGATTCAGCATGTAGATTCAGCATGTACCAAAAGAACGACGCTCTGTGAAACCTGTTACATGTGGAGTGGACCACTAAACTAGGGAATTCACTGCATGCACACAAACATGACATGCTATCGTGCTATCCTCTTCCAAAGGGTGATCTCACTAACCACTGCCTTTATGCAGCATGTACACATCACATGGTATTTTCTACATGTGGGTATTATGTGACAAATAGGCATGTTTACATGTTTAATTTCATCTCCTATACTCCCTTTCCTTGGAATTATATCACTCACACATTATAGAGAGAAAATTACGTGGGGCAAGCCAAGAACTACAGTATGTGTTCAAATGAGAAAAGCTGAAGTTCAAGTCAAATGAACTGTTCCCTCCTTATCTTTTCTCTCCCTCCCCCTCTCCCTTCCTCTCCCTATCCTCTCATTCTTTCACCCCTCCCTTCAGAGGCCCCGCCCCCTCCCTCCACATGACCTCAGAGGAGGTGGCTGTAGATCTTCCCCCTGTCTGCCCTCCCCACACATCAGACATGGAGGCCGTTCAGGAAGAGATCGAACACCTCAAGAGAGAGATAATCGAGGCAAATGAAGATCGGGCAAAGGCGGCAGAGTATGGGTTGGTTCTACTGGAGGAGAAACAGGCTCTGGCTGGTCAGATTGAGGAGCTCAACAGTCTGTACGACTCTGCTAGGAGGGAGCTGGAGACAGCCGTTGAGGTTGGCCAGTCGCAATCTTAAATGGAATGTGACAGTATAGGGCACAGTGGAGGTATATTCACCTTGAAACGGTTTGGTGCAAACACCAAGCAGCATACTAGAGCCTACTAACCCTTTTTGGTCATATGGACAGTCTGTGTGGTCAGGTGTGAGTCATCCTTATAGAACTTCCACCTACTGCTTATTATACTTGTGTACTGCTACATTGTGGTCTCAGCTGTGCCTACATCACCCACAGGTAGCCACACAATAGAAGACACAAATAACATGATACCCACAATGTACATATTCAATGCTTATATACAATGCCAGTCCTTTCACCACCAACACAGTTGTGTTGGTCACTTTGAGAGAAGCATTTAATTTGGATGTCATCCAGTTTTTCAGCACTCATGATTTAGAAATCACTTTTCTTGAGATGGCACTTTCACCCTAAAGCTTTATGCCTTTATGCATTGGACACATATACAATTCTTCCAAAGTGTTGGCAAAGCACAATAGAACAAAGCAGTTCTTTGCACAATAGAGTTAGGGAAGCTTCAGACCAACTTTGTAGGTGGTAGTAAATAGCTTGTCCCACAGTACCCATGGTCCCTCCCCACATTATTCCAAATTCACAAAAGGAACATTTTTCTCCCCACGTGGAAAGTTCCCTAGTGTTTCATTCCGTCTTCTCTCTGAACCCCAGTCGATAAAGAGGGTCCAGAATGACTATGAGAAGAGGCTGAAGGACGTGGAGAACCAGAGAGAGCAGCTGCTGTCTGAGATGGAGTCCAGGGAGTCCACCCTCATCTCCAGGGTCAGTCTCTTCCCCAACAATCCTTCAACAACTCACTTGACATAATGTGTATACATGTTAACGTCTCTAGCATCGGCCTTTGGCTTTCATAACAACAGTACTTAGTACATAAATTATTTGTGCCAGCGTCTGCATCTGAATGCAATTCTTATAACCAGTATATATATATACTTTAGTATAATTATGTATGAATGTTATGCTGTCTGCATGTTCTGGTGTGGGGTCAGCATCTGGGTCATTAGCATCATCTTATCAACGTCCATGAATGCATTACTTACACATGTCAACATGTTCATAACCAAGTAAATCTGCAATCAAGTAATGTGCATTGTGCATTTAGCTAAGCTACCACATGTACAAAATCATCTGAGGACGTAAATGTGCACAATAAGCGGTGCATTTAGCTCCGTAAGAGTAATAAGTGTTGTTTGGTTCGAACCACAAGTCCTGCACTGCTGCTTCCGCGACTCTGTAATGCACAGAGTTTCCTGGATTCGGCATTTAACCTACATACGTACGTTATACGTAGCGTTATGGTAAAACTGTGTGGTTTATTGATGTGTACTACTGTCCCTGCAGGTGGACAAGCAGCAGGAGCAGATTCGACAGCTGGAGAGGAAGTTAAAACAGGCAGTTTCGGAGCAAGAGCACCTCAGTGATCACAATACCATCCTCACCACCGAGATTGACAAGTATGTCGCACATATCCCCATCTCGCCCAAATTTCGCTGTCCCCCCTAAATAAGGCATTTGCATTTTTTGTACGCACAAGAGTGGGAAAAGAGAGAAACCAACTATAATTAATCCTTTGACTACAGTTGGAGTATGGAATAGTAACATCTTCTATCTCACTGCACCTATCCCAATCTTGCCCAAATTTCCCTATATATCCCCCCTATATAAAGGGTGTCAACGATTCTGCATTTGTCGTAGGCACAAGAGTGGAAAAAGAGACAAACCAACTATCCTTAATACTTTGACTACAGTTGGAGTATGGAATAGTAACATCTTCTATCTCGCTGCCCCTATTCCTATCTCACCCAAATTTCGCTATATATCCCCCCTATAATTATAAAGGGTGTCAACGATTTTGCATTTGTCGTAGGCACAAGAGTGGAAAAAGAGACAAACCAACTATCCTTAATACTTTGACTACAGTTGAAGTATGGAATAGTAGCATCTTCTATCTCACTACACCTATCCCTATCTCGCCCAAATTTCGCTATATATCCCCCCTATATAAAGGTGTCAACGATTTTGCATTTGTTGTAGGCACAAGAGTGGAAAAAGAGACAAACCAACTATTCTTAATACTTTGACTACAGTTGGAGTATGGAATGGTACTATCTTCTATCTGACTGCACCTATTCCTATCTCGCCCAAATTTCGCTATAATTCCCCCCTATATAAAGGGTGTCAATGATTTTGCATTTGTTGTAGGCACAAGAGTGCGAAAAGAGACAAACCAACTATCCTTAATACTTTGACTACAGTTGAAGTATGGAATAGTAGCATCTTCTATCTCACTGCACCTATCCCTATCTTGCCCAAATTTCGCTATATATCCCCCCTATATAAAGGTGTCAACGATTTTGCATTTGTTGTAGGCACAAGAGTGGAAAAAGAGACAAACCAACTATCCTTAATACTTTGGACTACAGTTGGAGTATGGAAACTCGCTGCACCCATCCATAATTATCTCGCCTAAATTTCCCTGTCCCCATAAATAAGGGTGTCTACGATTTTGCATTTGTTGTAGGCACAAGAGTTGAAGAAGAGAGAAACGAACTATCCTTAATACTTTGCCTACAGTTAGAGTATAGAATAGTCTTCTATCTCGCTGCACATATCCCTACTGTATCTCGCCCAAATTTAGTAGTGCTGTGGATGTACGACTGTGCTTGCCCATACTTCATTGCGGACAATGATAGCTGTATAGACATAGAGTACAGAACCTCAGAGGGTTTAAGGACATTTTGGAAAAGTAGATCTGTGACACGGGATGCATACACAGGGAATTAGTTGAAAATCCAAGTTTGCTATACATACTATACGTGTGTGTTTATGCCGGTTTGCCACTAGGCATGAATGAACTTGTGTGTGTCTGTCTGTAGAATGTGTATCATGAATATGTCAGGAGAAGTTTGCCACAAGTACTTGCAGTTATATGTACGTGTCTGTAGAATGTGTATGATTATGTGCTGAATATGTCAGGAGAAGTTTAACACAAGTACTTGAAGTTTATTATTGTCATACGTGCAGGTTCAGGAGAGAGTGTGACATTCAGAAAGAGGAGGTGAAGCGACTGAGAAAAGACTCATCCGAGGGCTGGCGGGAGTGCGAGGAGAAGAAACAAGAAATAGAGCGACTCCAAAAGAGAATCGAAAAACTGAAGCAACTGGAGAAAGATTTCCCGGCAGTCCGGGAGGTCAACCGGAGTCTACGGCAGGAGATTGAGGTGGTTCATGCACATTACGAGAGTGTGGTGGACGAGAAGGCAGAGCTGGAGCACCAGAACTCTCAGACCATGATGGCTCTCAACGAGGAGCGAGAGGAGAAGGCTCAGCTAGAGATCAAGCTCCGGGAAGACGAGCTACGTTCGCCCATCTCCCCCAGCTGGGCCATGGAGAAGGCTGTCCTCAACGCGTCTTCCCCGACTGGTCGAAACAACCTCAACCACAACGGTTCTTTCCCCTTCCCGTCGCCCACGAGTCCTTCGCACTCAGCCAAGGCACACTCCACGCCGCGCAAGACTCCTCTTCACCAGAACCTTCTGAGTGAGATGCTCACTGTCGACACTGCTCACTTGGAGCTCTTACAGAAGCTAGCAGCTGCAGAAGAAACCGCCGCAGGCCTACGGAAGGAGAAGGCAGCACTGAGTGAGCGAGTGTCCTCTCTTGTGAAGCAGTTGGGCGAGGTCGAGACCGAGGCTACTCGGGCAAAGGAGGAGTTAAACAAGAGGCTGAGTGACGGTGCGAGGGCCATGGAGAGCCTCAAGGAAGACCAGATGATCAAGGACGAGATTCTGGACCAGCTGAGAAACAAGCTAACGGGCATGGCGGCCGAGCGGACGTCGATGGAGATTGAAGTCGAGGCCATGAAGAACGAGGTGAAGAGAGTCCAGGAGAGCTCGGCTGCAGAGCTGGAGCGCTACCGCTGCGACTGTCAGCTGGAGCAAGAGAAGAACCTGGAGCTCCGTGGACAGGTCGTGGTACTGGAGGAACAGTCGGCGCAGATGCTAGAGTCGCTCCAGAAGCTCGAAGGAATCATCTACAATTCGCACAACGAGCTCTCTTCCATGACGGACGACATCCACAACATGCACAGGGCTGTTGTGAGTCTGGTGAATGACAACAAGACCTCAGCCAGTTCGTCCCCCGCAAGATCAAATGGCACCAGCAGTAATGGCAGAGTAGGAGGAGGAGGAAATGGCAGTGTAACTCCAGCCGAGGTTGTCTCTGGTGACGCCGGAGCAGATGACAAGTACTACACTCTCCAGCTAAAGGAGCGGAAGTCAACGGTACAAGTCCACCTTGAAACGCAGTCCCTAGTGGGGATCAGCAACTTGCACGATCAGCTTCGGTCCATCCGCTCACCACTGGAGCAGTTCACGAAGAAGATGCTGGAGAAGTCGCTGGCTCACTCGACACGGCATCTCTCAGATGCCAAGAACGTGGCCGCAAATGAAAGGGGCTCACCCGTGGTTACCCGCAGGAACACGGGGTTGTCGGGGGAGAGCGATGTGGCACTGAACAAGTGGCGCTCGAAGCTGGCGGTCAAGACCGAAGAAGTGAACAACCTCCGTGCCATCATGAGGGCCCGTGCCGCCACCACTGAAGTGTCTGTGAGCAGTCTCCGCAGCAAAATAGAGGGGCAGAGCCGAGCCTACCAGACGGAGCTCACCAAACTGAAATACCAGCTGCGAATGCTCAAGAAAGAGAAGGAAGAGCAGTACAGCCAGCGGGTCATGTACTACAAACGCTGCGAGGATCTGTCGGAGGAGATCACGCGGACCAAGAGAGATATGGAGGGTGTACGGCAGGAGAACACCGAGCTGCTCACCTCGCTCAAGAAGACCATTCAGAAGAAGCTGGACCTGAGTCGGGAGCTCGAGGAGTACAAGGTAGAGCAGGAAAGGCTCAGAATAATTCCTGCCAGACTAGGCTCTTCTAGAATCTAAACTAGCTAGTACATTAGTTATTGCAGTCCCAATTTTTGTCAGATGATGCCCACGTGAGCTGGGTTCAAGGTGAAGAGACTTTTGTGATTTTTATATTATTATGCTTCACATTTTTCAGACCATTTCCACCCCAAATTTGATTTTACTGTGCCATCATGTGTACACAGCTTCAGCAATTTTTTTGATTCTCATCTCCTAATTATTGATTGTACGAATCTACTTTTTCGAGATCTATGAGCGAACAGTGAACTTGCCAATTACATAAACCATGGTGTACACAATGATGAAGTGATGATAACAAAGCTATAGTGTGTGTGTGTGTGTGTTTCTTAGTCTGCTGCTGCTGTTTCAGCTGCTAATATTGCAGCCTCTGCTTCCAGCTTTTGCAAAGCCTTTTCGTGAGCCCAGGCACTCATACTGTTCAAAACACATGCATCTGTGTAATTATTGCCAACTATATACCATATCGACATACCTTGTATCTGGCTTGAAAAACGCTATAATTAGGATCAACAGGAAGTTCAAAGCCATGCCGTATACAAATGGATTCTCCCATTCTTCCTTCTGCCGCTTTTCGCCCGGTAATAAAGGCTGGAGAGAGCGTGTGAGAGACAAGAGTGAGCACTAATTGGAATAAAACCACTATAAGAAAGGAAAAAACTTGTAAGGGTCTTTCATGTGCATTTAACAACGGAATTTTGAGGTAGAATACGTACCTTCTCGTTAAAAAGAAAGCCGTTGGGTTCTGAGACATTAGACACCGGTTTTGGTCCGCCCCCGCCGTGGCGAACTGCCACAGACACAGCTGGTGCGGCTCTCAGGGTAAGTCCAGCACGAGCTGCAGACACAAGTCTCAGACTACTCCTGAACACGCTCATACTCCTCCAGTTAGTCCAGAGAGCCAGCCACAATGAGAAAACTGCGAGAGCTGGTCAAATAATCATAGAGCGCTTACGTTCGTTAAGCGCGGTACACAGCAGCCCCACCCCTATTTTGTCTTTGTGTCTCTGTGTATGTGTAGCTGGCAAGAGAGAGAAGAGAGTGAGAGTTCTTTTGTGAAAATAGATATGTCTTCATCCAATGAACTAGAAGTCATATCGAGAGGAAGGTAAGTGAGAAGAGAATTTGAAGCCAGCCCCTAAACTTGTGTTGTCATGACAATTTCTTGTGCAGTATCGACATACCCCACACTCAAGAACCCAGCTCACAACAGGGCACTCTGACAACCGTAAATACACCTCTAGCCAATGGTCATGTACAAACAGTATCACCTAATTTTTCCTGCAGGACAAGAAAACGGCTCAAAACACCATCACTCTAGAACCACTACCACCTGAAAGTACACTCTATTGTTGTCTTTACAGTTTAATTTCTGTGTATGTTAGATTGTACAAGTTTTTGAATAGTAGCTAGCATCAACCAGACACAAAGAAACTCGCTACTTTATTAGCTCAGTCATAGATTTCCCTCTACTGTTCCATCCGTCCAATTTCGCTTATTGTACTCCATGCAGGACCCAGGTATCGCAGCCACTACAAACCAGAACTGGTAGGGCAGAAGGGGGAGGAAGAGAAGAAAGAAGAGGAGAATAAGGAAGAGGAGGAGGAGCTGTCACTAGAAGTCGAGGCAGACACCCTTCCCCTGTGTCTAGAGAGAGCCAGTCACCAGCTGGCCCAGAGCAGGCTACACACCGACAGCCTCCTGCAGAGGATTGAGAGTCTGTCTGGCAGAATCAGATCTGGTCTCAGCCTTGTAGAGAGCACTGGGGCCACTGTCTCCCAATTACCCTTCACAATCACTGCCTCTGATACTGGGGGCGACCCCCACGATGTAATTATGACATCGTCACATTCCCGAGATGGAGAAAAGCTGGAGGATTGTGAAGGAGACACAGAATGTCTCTACTGGTGACCCCGAGGATATTGAAAGGGGTGGAGAACGAGGTGTGGACTCGCCAGAGGCTGGGGAAGTTGATCCCAAACTGGCAAAGGCTCTTGAAAAGATGAAGAAGTTGGACAAGAGGCTTGCTGACCTAGTGGTGGTACGCCATAGTTTCCCTGTCTATTGTTCCAAGACATGCAAAGTGTACTATATACCCCCATGTTCGCCTAATCATACTCCTAGTCTAGTATGGAAGCCTAAGCTTTGAACGATCAAAGAATTTGTACGAAATTCTACGTTTCTGCTGCAATTATGTGCATGCATTAGAGGGAGAAGAGGTGAAAGAACAGAGGAGGCAATTGGAGCTACAAATGGCCGGAGTGGTGGACCCCCAGGAACCTCTGGACCTCGAAGATGGTTTGTCTATCATTTTACTTTAGGCCTTTTGACTAACCGTGAACTGTGGGCATGAAAAACAAGTAATGCTGTAGAAAAGAGGCGGAGAATGGAGGATACTCTGCTGATTATGTCCTGGTTATGGTGTGATTCTAAGATCAAGACTACAACCTGGTGAAATAGTATATCTTCCTTGTACAGGTGTGCACCCGTTCGCCCCTGTATTTCAAACCCAATTACCAGAGGGTAAAGAGCCTGGCACTGACTTCATCCAGAGAAACATTGAGGTATTGTATTGTAATACAGACCTTGTATGCTGATGGGGTCGTCAACCACTGTGGTCTATCCGCCTAAACATGAATAATCTGGGTAACATTTACACAGACACTTGGAACAAGGTTTGTAGTGGGTGGCATGGTTTCTAGAGTGGTTTAGACTTGTACATTTGAGGTTGCAGTAATAATGAAGTTTGTAACCTTTGTGTTGAGGGGATAAAAGAGAACTTTGTGGGTTACTGGTTCTCAGCCCTTCAATTCAAGGTTATATAATTATGTAGCCGATTGTTGTAAAGGTTACATGGTGAATGATAATACACAGGAGGCTGAGGCAGCAGTGGTGCTCAGTGAGCCAGAAAAGCTTCGATTGGAGCAACTTTTAGCACAAGACGATGACAACACAGTAGAGGCAAGTAGTTAACTTTGGAAATTCCTGAAAATGCCATTGTGCAAAAATTATGGTGTATACTTCTTCTGAACATTAGATGGATGATGGGTCTACTGAGTCAGTAAATGAAGAGGCCAACGTTTTCAAGCTGTCTGCCGAGTCTCAAACTGCACTGAGGCATATTGACATGTGAGGGTAAATGCACAAACACACACACACATTTTACTGTACTACTGGTCAAGGTTTTAGTCCACACCTGCAAATTTTCACAACTTTTGTAGAAGACTCCAGATTTGCGAAAATCACAGTTTTAGTTCGTGGCATTATCGCAGTTTCCCCCTATTCTAGCCAACTGGAGGCAATGGGTGGGTGTGGAGTTGAAGAACCAGGTCTCGGAAACTATGGTGAACAGCAGCAGTCATCATCAGCTGCTGAAGACTCTCAGAGACTACAGGAGATTGACGAGAAACTGGCAGAGTTGAGAAAATCTTCAACTCAGCCTCAGGTACGTAATGTCTGAACGCTAGTACAATATACCGTATTCACGAGATAACACTCAAGAAAGTCTATCCACAACTGAAATCTTATTCACATTTCAGTGTATGTTCTTTACACAGGAACTATTGGCACTGCAGCATCTTATCCAGTCATGTGATCATTAATGACATCACACATCATACCCTCACATATGCATAAAACCTGATAAATACACTGTAACATTGTACACATTCATTATCATGTATAAGTGGTCTGAACCCTCGTAATTATTGGGTATACTATAGCCTGAGATTGGTGTAGAGTAAACCTAGAAGTTACCAAAGTCATCGTACGTCTCAGTGTGCAAGGGGTTACTGGTCATGTACCCGTTGTCAGCCACACCCCCTTCTAGCTGGGGGTCAGAGTCCGGTGCCATCAGTTGAATAAGGTTTTCAATGTCCTCTGGAGTCGTGTCGAAACCGAACGCTTCGGCGAACGGGTCGGTAGCATTGCCACCTTCCCCAGTGGTCCTTTCATTTTCAGTGGTGCTGGGAGGTGGTGCAAAGCCGAGAGCCTGTGCGAGAGAGTCGGCGGCCGATACGGTTGTAGTGGTCGGGGCCGTTTGCCCAGTTTCAGAGTCCGTGGTTTTCACCTGTTTTGCCGTTGACGATGACTTGGCAGCGACTGGTGTCGGGTTTTTCTTGCTGGAACTGGAAGCAGTGTTATTCAGCACGCTGGTCCTAATAGATAGGGATAGGAAGAGCATACAAGTATATATGTGTAGTGGTGACACCCATAGTCTCTCCACTTTCTAGTGCACTAAATCACAGTTTTTGTGAAAATTATGATGAACCAAACACCCAAATGCACATGTGGCCTATATTATACAATTCCTTGCTCTTTCTCTTTCCTATCTTGAGTCTTCCATTTCAAATTTCCATTCAACTCGTATACTGGTATTCAAACGTACACAGTTGCAGTGGTTGTGAGAGGGAGTGTGGGAGCAGGAGGGGAAGGAGAATGGGAGGGTCTGGAATAGGGATGCCGGGGAGGGAGTGAGAGCTGTGAGGATGTGACAGTGGGAGGTGTGGGAGAAGGAGACGTGGAGGAAGGGTGCGGCGGGGTGGACACGTAACCACTACCCCCTCCTCCTTCGCTCAGTACGACAGTGGTGGTTGTCTCTGTGGGGACCTGCATGGTGGCAGTCGACGAGCTGCCAAAATCAGTGTTCCCTCCGCCTCCCCCGCCTCCTCCATCTGTGACATAGCCATCAGGGAGGGGTGATGGGTCAGGTGCGGGGGTCCCAAACCCACCCAGTACGCTATGGTCGAATGAAATAAGAGGGAGGTCCTCGTTTTCTTCTAGAATGTCAGCAAACATCAGCGGAGAATCTGCAGTTAGAAACAAGTTGCCAGTTTCATTGCCGGCTGTGTGGTTACAGTAGCAAAGTGTTCAACATTGACCCATCACAAAAGTATATTGAAGCTCGCCTTCAGTAATAAAAGGAGGCTGCTGACTGTCTCCCTCGTGTCGCCCGAGATTCAGGGACTCTGCGGATGTGGAGCTGCTGTCGGGAAGACTTGGAGGCAGCAGCGATATCGTGCCCATCGCCCAACTTCCTACCACGCCCACTTCCTCTCCAGGGCCACTCCCACTTCCCGGTTGAGGAGGCGGGGCCATGTCAGAGAGGTTTGAGTCACTGGAGGAGCGATGCTGAGTTGGGAATGCCGGCGTGGCCTGAGAAGACAATGGGAGATGACGATATACATAATACCCCAATAATCACAATCCCACTCTATAGCTCTTACTAGTGTGGAAGACAGGGCCCCTGGTGAGGTGTGTGTTCTGTGATGGTGGGAGGAGGAGGAGAGGGCAGATGGTGCAGGGGTGTACGAGGTAAGGAAGGACCCGGTGTAGGGGGCCACTGGGGGAGGGGGGCGTGCTGGCGGGATCTGTGGTGGGGTATGAATCACTCTGGTTCGTTCGCAACTAATGTGTGGTTAGTCAGTCAGCAGCCCTGCCCTGGTTGCGATACAGAGTCCCAGGATCTTATACAATGATGGAGAATCCCACATTTGTTGCAACGTGTCATGCGATTTTGCTGGGAACAGTCTATTCCCAGAGAGTGTCATAATGTTGCAGGCTCTATCAATGTACTATGAGAACTAAGAAGACATTATCTTTTTTACTGTATGTACAAGAGAGGTCTGTACACTACTATTATTATACCTGTTTCTTGTCAGTGCCACTTCTCTGGCCACCACCTTCTCTGCCCTGTGGTACAAACAGTCATTACGTGTCAACGATAATTTCCAAAGGGAGGAAAGCTTTGGTGGCAGGAGATAACAGTTACACGTATCTCCTGCTATATACCAGTTTTCCCCATTTGAACAGGACAAGCCGTCCCTGCAATAGTTACTGTTCTACACATGGTCCACTCCCACCGTATTTCACGGCAGAAATGATCTCAGAAGTTTTTCAAGACATACGTACATACTGTATGTATACGTGCAGTATAGAGTCCCCATACCAGGTTGAACTGCTAGCATGCAACAAAACTATGTCAGAACATGGTACACTGTACCTGCATCATTCTCCATAGTTTCTGGATGGCCTCACTGATAGCTCCAGCCACCTAGAATCAACCCACTCACTGGTGTTGACCACAGCAAGTATTCTAGAATAGCCAACCTTGGATCCTGATTGGTCGGCCTGCATCACATGACAGACGTATTTAACCCTTTCAGGCTCAACCACACGACAGACAACGCCAAACAACCTACACAGAAGAATTAATACATAACACACCTTTTAATAGTTGGAGAATAATTTGTTATTCGCCATGTAACCTGATGTGAAAAACAATTGGGCTGTTTAATTGTGCATTGTGCATTGTGTGTGTGTGTGTGTGTGTGTGTGTGCAGCTCTTGATAACATGTAAAACAAGACCACATTGCACATTAGACCAAAGTGACATCAAAATGTGTGACTTATACTCTGGAGAAAACGGTACATGTATGTATAGTTGATTAGACAAACTTCTCATCCTCTGGGTGTACGGCACAGTTGATAATGTCCTTCAGCAGAAACTGCAGTAAAAACGTGGAAAATATTGCATCATAATATCCAGCCGTCATTAATTTATAAGTAGTCTCTTACCTTTCCAATGGCTTTATTAGACTGAGTCTCTATCAACCTGTGCAAATGAAAAAGACATCCTTCTAGTAAATTCTAGTAAAGTGTGAATAGTTGAAAATGAAAATGTGATTGCGGAATTCGTATTACAAACTGCATTAATTAGGATGGGGGGATAGTGATGCTCACGTGATTTTCTTGAGTTGAATGGCCAGCTCAATGGAAGTGGCTGGCTTCACTTTCTTGACAGCTCGAGCCGTAATCACACCTCGAATGGTGCCACTAATGGTGGACGGGTCTGCAGGGGTAACGGAGAAGGAGGGGAGAGGGGCAAAATAGAGAGAGAGAATGTGTGTGTGTGTGTGTGTGTGTGTGTTTGTAGGGGTAGAGAACAACACTGAGAGATGATACTAACTTTTTGGTTCTACGACCTCCTTCTGGCCCAAGTACTTCACTGGAAACTTGACCACCAACTCACCTAGTAAGAGAACTACAGTAAAACACATGACATGCTGCACAGATATGTACAAAAGCTAGCCTTGCAAACGCTTACACGCCAGCCTTGTAGAATGTCAAAATACCTGAAATGCTGCTGTTTTGTACAGTGTAGACTAGTGTCTGCTATTATAATATACATACCACTGGGGGGTGAGTGGTTCAAAGACTGGGCCATTGCAGTGGCAGCGTTGGTGGAGTGAACCCAGTTCTGAACCTCGGCCATCTTGGAGGAGGAGAGGGAGGGAGGGCGCGGGGAGGGGGACTTCTTCTCCCCACTGTTCCCGCTACCGAGACCGAGGAGACTGAAGCTGCGCTGCGGGGACTTGGTGGCGCGGGAGTTGGTCTCAGGGTTGGTTTGTTGGGACGACGTCGCCGTCTTCTGGCTCCTATAATTACACAGCAGTCAATTACCTTGGGAAGACCCAGACCGTGACACTTACAACTAGGCTATTCACAACACCAAACTGAGCTTATAATCAGGGTTCGTCTAGAATTGAATCTGTTGATGAAATTTTTCACAAGGTGTTTGCTTGCCACCCGCAATGTCTTGCGCTGTATTGCGTTCTGTGTACTAGTAACCTGAGTGGGGATTTGGGGCGTCTCTGAGGAGGTGTGGCTCCCTTGAGTCCCCCACCCAAGGAAGACGGTTTGACGGAGGAGGGAGGGAGAGAGGGGGCCGCTCTGCTCGACCCTGGCTCTTGATTCAGCTCCTTTGATGCCCACGATCTGATCCTTTCCCTCTCCAGCCTGTGATACATACACAGAGCCTTGTCCAATATACATACGGTATCAGGTTGACCAGCAGAGGTGTTAATACACATTACACGGTATGGATGTGTGTGCACTTGTACAAAGTATCAACCCCTGCCTCTACATGTGTAGATGACTGTGCATTATTGAAGTTGATACATCATGCTTATACTATAAAACATTGTACATACGTATGCTAGTATAAACGTACTATATTATAAAATGGTCACTCACGAGTCATAGAGTCTGGTCCTCAGCCGAGCTCCGTCGTGAGTCTGATTCCCCAGACTCTCTCCGTGCTGTTATAAACATGCACACACACAGTGAGTGTGTACGCATGTACGTATATATACTATACATACATCATCAACAGAAAGCAGTATGCATATGTATAAGGCTTAAGTGTCTGCCATAGCACAGAAATTAGGGGTTGACTTTTTTCTTTTTGCGAAGTGTTGTGTTGTACTGAGCTCTGCCTGCTGACTGCCCCGGTAGCTCAGGAGGTAGAGCAAACTGCCTAGAGAGTGGGGGTTTTAATTCTACCCGGGCTGCTGTTTTTGCCAATGGGGGACGTTGAATCGTGTTTGATGTGACGGTTGTGTTTTTCACCTGGTGGTGATGCATCTACAAACCTGTGATTTCCTTACGGAGTTATTCCTGATCACCGATATCCACTGAAACAGGATTGAAACAACCTCTATGAGTTTAGCATCAGACATCGCGCAGAGCTCACCTCAGTTCGCTGTGTGTCACTTTCAGCTTGCAAAAATACCGGCCTGCAATCAATTGATAAAAATTTTTTTTTAAAATTGGGGTAGTGAACTCTACTCAGGTATATACGATGTACTGTTATCACACGAAAACTAGTCAAAGTGTACTGACTTTTTGAGGGCGGGATGAGATATTTGCATCACGTAACGTTTGTCGTCACAGTCACTGGCAAATGCATCGGCTTCTTTCAGTTGCAGAAGTGCTTCTGCATTCTGGTTAAAATACAGGGGGATAATGGAGCAGAAAACATTTATGTGCCTAGTCTTGTAATGATCTTGTAAGAATGTTGTCATAAAATAGGACAAGGGAGAGGGGAATGGAGAGAAAGGGGGAGATGGGGAGATGGGAGATGGGGAGGTGGGAGATGGGGAGGTGGGGAGATGGGGAGATGGGGAGATGGGGAGAGAGGGCAGTTAAGGAGTGAAATGAACGTTGCACCTTTTGCAGAGACTGCGTGTAGAGGTAGCCATTTTTGGTAAAGAAGAAAGTTCTCTCCCATTTTGCAGCCAGCCCTCCCTTCTGACTGTTGGTAAAAGAGGTGATATGTACATACACGGCAGTATCTTCCTCATAGACTCACACTCTGAGGTAGAGGTAGCCATATCTGGAAGAGAGGCCGGTGTTTGGAGTAGGAAACTCAGTGAATGGATCTTCCCATGGAACATAGAGAACAGCAAATGATTGGTGGCCAATTAAAAATTAAACTTGGCTGTCATTGTGCAAGAAATTGTGCAAGAAATTTTAAGTGCATTCGCATTTTCTAGTTCTACAATTAGTATTGAGAGTTAAAAATGTAGTGCTAGAGTATACGCCAAGAATAGAGTTACACAGAGTAGGTCAGCAGTCAGATACACAGAGAGTTTAATACATACAGTAAGTGACAGTAAGGGTAGAGAGTCACCGGCAAGGTCAGGGTCAGGTACACAACACATACAGTAAGTGACAGTAAGGGTATAGAGTCACCGGCAAGGTCAGGGTCAGGTACACAACACATACAGTAAGTGACAGTAAGGGTATAGAGTCACCGGCAAGGTCAGGGTCAGGTACACAACACATACAGTAAGTGACAGTAAGGGTATAGAGTCACCGGCAAGGTCAGGGTCAGGTACACAACACATACAGTAAGTGACAGTAAGGGTATAGAGTCACCGGCAAGGTCAGGGTCAGGTACACAACACATACAGTAAGTGACAGTAAGGGTATAGAGTCACCGGCAAGGTCAGGGTCAGGTACACAACACATACAGTAAGTGACAGTAAGGGTATAGAGTCACCGGCAAGGTCAGGGTCAGGTACACAACACATACAGTAAGTGACAGTAAGGGTATAGAGTCACCGGAAAGGTCAGGGTCAGGTACACAACACATACAGTAAGTGACAGTAAGGGTAGAGAGTCACCGGAAAGGTCAGGGTCAGGTACACAGAGAGTAGGGAATTGTAGCTCCAACTCTGTCTTCTGTTGCTGTAACTCTCTCACCTCATTCTCATGCTCACTGTGGTAGCTAGAGGAGAGAGAGAGAGAGAGAGTGCGTAATTGGCGAGTGAAGTGAGCCCTCCTACAAGTTGTCTGAGTGTGGGATTTGTCTATATATGTGACGGGCATTGCACATACAGTAATGTACTACGTGACGCGCGAATAATTGAACTGCTCGCACTCGCTCTCCAAGAATGCCATTCTAGGGTATGTGGCAGCTGAAAAAAGAATACTAAGTAGTTAATTATGTGGTTAAAGCTTTAATCGCCAACATGACCTACTAATAGGCACATTATGTCGGGGTCTACTTTGGTGATGAATTGAGTGGCCACCAAATGTACTACCTCTGAATATCTCCATTGAGGTTGGTGAGGAGTTGTTGGAACCCAGAGTTCATTATCTCCTGACACGCCTTGAAATACCCCATCTGCAGAATACACATCATCTTCATCATCTCGTCGCCTACTACGTACATAGCAACTTTAGAAGTAAAGAAGCACAATCAAACGCATCGAAAATGCTTCTGCAGTGCGAACTCTGCCTTAACTCTTTCCAAATGGCACTTGTTCTTTTAAAGGGAATATGTCAGTACATAAAGGCTAAATTTACAAATGTTACTAAAGATAGAACTAAGCAATGGGCTCAGTGTAAGAATGCAACCAAGTTTCTAACAAATTTTAAATTTATCCCTTATATATTATTATACTGCCACATTCTCTTTGGACGCCATGGGTATCTCCTTAAATAAGCAGAAATTGATGTATAAAGTATTAGCACCTAGTATTATAACCCCCATACCAATTCTTATGGACTTATGGAGGCTCTGGACACATTTATGTGTTGTGGCTGCATGGTTAAGGGTTTTAATAGGAAAACAACTTCTAAAGATCCTCCAAGGGCATTCCATGTCTCGACAACTTGGTAACGAGGTAGAAAGGCAAGGCAAGGCAAACAAGTCAACTACACCCAGGACAGCTCAAAGAAAAGATGAAGAGCTGTTGCATGCGCGCAGACGAGGGTTAACAAGTCAACTACACCCAGGACAGCTGTTGCATAACTTTATTCTCTCTTTGCTTATTAAAGATGTTTCCCAAACATCATCTTTCAGTACAGGTGACTGACTCAGGGTTTTGAGGTAATTGTCGTAATGCACTGACTGCATACGAAACTGACCTGAGCATGCATGAAAGTGAGGACAGGTTCCAGTAGCATGAACCTCCTTCTCATTTGAAACTCCTTCAGTTGAGATATGTAGTCCAGAGTGCACTGTGGGAGGGGGGGTGCATACGAGGAAAGAAAAAGGAGTGAAGTATCATTTCTGAATGTTGGAGTGAGCATCATGTACTTATAGCACATTAGCCAAAGGTACAGATGAGCAAGAAAGAAGTAAACAAAGAAACACCGTAGGATGGAGTGTGTACCTGGTAAAACTTCTTTCTGGCCGCATAGAGCTCAGCATTGGCCTCAAACCGAGCCTGCAAAACACATTAGTCAATGCTCAATGTCAAAAGCCTCTTTACACCATAAAGTGTGAGCACTTCAATTTGACCTTATCAGAATCCCTGCGTTTGGAGGTCCTGCTGAACTTTGCCATTGCATGTTCATGTTCTGCAGGAGACATTATACACACAAAAAACAAAGTAAAACATACAATATGCAAACGCAGGAGTTATGAATTTGTTGAGGGAAGTGGGCCTACGACAATGGGCCCATTACGTTTGTGAACCACACACACGTAACATGATGTCTTAATAAGCAAATTATCAGATTGACCTTGTCTGCTGTTGTCGTATGTGTCTTTGAGAGCCAGAAGATGGTCAATGTCTTCTTCCAGTAGAGCAGACATTCTGTGAACCACGGAGTTCTGGAGTTGACTGTTGAACATCTCCTGACACGAGTACAGCTGGGGCGAGGAGAGGGAGGGAGGGAGGGAGGGGAGGGAGGGAGGAGAGGGAGGGAGGGAGGAGGGGAGAGGGGTCAAAGATGTGCTGGTTTCTAAAGGCCAATTCAGCACGTACGTACGTACACCTATCTACATCTACAGTGGAACCCCTCTAATCCGGAGACTAATGGACAGAAGAAAGTGTGCGTACTAGTGGTGTGTCCAAATTTCGATGCAGGAAACTGTTTCCCATTGATGACTAAATGCTCTTGGCTATGCTCCTGCGTAATCTTATTTCTGGATACCATAAGTGGGACTCCTTTGATCATGAACAAAACCGCTCTCTTGGCCATGCATCAACTATGTGTACTACGGCTACCATAATTACTTGGCACTTGTGTTTGGGGGTTAACTGCAGCAGAGAGACCATTGCACTGTAGCAGTAAATCATGATTTGGAGAAATTTAGTATTAATCGAAGATTATTTGAGGAATTCAAATTCAGATGGGAGAAATTTAACACAACCAAAGGTCCTGCACAGTGTTGACAAGTACAATCAGTTGTATCCCTGTGTATAATATGCAAACCTCAGTCTGATATCTGGAGAGCTGTGAGAAGACACTGGAGGAGGTGGAGCCAGCTCTTTCACCCAACTGAGATATATATATATCATGTGACGGGCTCTGTCGGGCACTGCACATACCATAATGCTCTACACGGTTCTAAATACGTGCAAAACACGCGCGAAATATTGACTGCTCACGCTCGCTCGATCGCCAACAATGTACTGTATATGCATTTCTCTAGTTAATCATATCAAATTAGTTGGATGATCTTCTTGAACTGCGCCACATACAATACCCCCTCACACTTTCACACGGAGTCTGGGAACAAGGATTACTGTATGTAGACCTCCCTTGTGTGTTGTGTGTGCAATAGCACCGTTAAATGCTTTCAGCCACTTCCGCCAATTACACACTTGGCATCAGACACAAGTGCTCTTTGCGCGGGTGAACAGATGTGGTCATGTACAACATATTTGAACTCCTTTTAAAATTACACACCTGCCCGGTTGAATTACAAATTGCGCACAGATGCATCTTGGATTTGTGCCCCATTTTCAAGGTTAACCCTCGGCGCGCATGTGCAGCGAGGGTTACGGTACTTGGTCCGTAAGTGTGTCTGTCTGTCTGTTACCATGTTTTCTGCCACTACGCGCAACGAGACAACAAAAGAGCGATACCAAAAGGTTCAGTGGATTTTAAATTTGGCATTTTTCGCATAAGTACTGCGTTCGAGAGTTATGGCGTGAAAACCAAGTGAACAAGCCAATATGCAAATTAGCACAGGCTTACACCTCGACCGGGTCAGCTCGCTCTGTGTATCTTGAAAGCGCAACGAAGGGCGTGTGTATCAACTCCCGCATGCTATCTACTACTGTAGCTAGCCCGTGTGAGACTCTTCGCGAGCTACTAGCGGGAGACCATCGAGTAAAAATAGCCCATCCCGTCAATTAGTGGTACCAGTTCGTCAAGGGTTTGCACTTTAGTGCTTTTCATTTCATACACGGTTTGCGAAACGCTATACCTGTGTAAAATGCTCAGGTGCTCCCTTATGCAAAGGCTGTAGGCTGTATATTGCATGATGTGTCCAAAAGAAAAACAGTTGGCTTTTGAGACCAGCTTTGGGAGAGACCAGCTTTTGTCTGAGTGTTGTGCCTCTGTGCACGAGTGCAACTCCTGACAAACGTTTTCTCACTTTCTCGTCACACGCCTGTGTTAGCCGACTAAGAGAGGAAAGACAATTGTTTTGGGCATAGTTCAGTTGTATCCCTTGTCTTGGTTCAACTTGATTACGGGTAAAATTTCGTATAAATTACATACGTACCTCGGAGTCAATGTTAACCAGGAGGTTTGATATGGCTCTCGCACCTTCCCCAACTTTCTCCTGCAAGCAAGTGGTCGTATGTAATACATAGTAACACAATCAGAATCCTATTAGGGAGTACTAATGAATGGGATTCTTTGGACTACATGTACGGTATTGTAGGTAGTGTGCCAAAGATGCTTGACTGATGCGGACATTTGATAGGACCAATTAATTAATGATGACTTAACTTTGGGAGACTTCTGTGTGTGTGTGTGCATCACTATGTGTGCGATTGAGGGAAAGAGAGAGGAAGAAGAGGGAGAGAAAGGGGAGGGAGGGGAGAGGGGAGAAAGAAAGGGGAAGAGGGAATGAGAGGAGGTAAGGAGGGAAGAAAGGCAAGAAGGTAGGGGGAAAGGGGGGGAGTGTTCAATAGAGAGAGTCAGGAAAGATGTGGGGGAGGGTGGGAGGGAAGGAGAGAGAGAGAGGGAATGGGGTAGATTACCTGGTGAAGGTGGCAGGCCTGGAAAGTGTCTCTAAGGAGAGTGACATACTCCCTGAATGGCACAAGACCAGCTTCAAAATGAGCCACCTGGCTGTGGACCTAATCAAGGGAGGGGAAACATGTAGGTTGGGCAAAATTCTCAAACTCTAATAATTATTGTGGCCAAAATCTCCATGCACCCTGCCTGCTGAGCCACCCTGGTAGCTCCTAGCATGCGGAACACTCGTGTGTTTTGGGTCCGAGTCCCACTGGTCCTATTTCGTGCTGTCCTGGATTTCGTTATGCACCTATTGATGCACGTGTGAATCACTAGACTGTCTTGTCTTGAGCCTTATTGCATGTACACTAACACCTACCCACAGATAGATCAAGGAGTGACGTGGTAAAAGAAAGCAAATGGGTCCCAGCAGCATAATCATCACCTACATTATAGGCTCTTTGTAGCGCACGTATAGTGCAGTGTAGAGTACAGTGGCTATTTGGCTACGTCCGGGGGGGCTTTCAAGCTTCTAAGTGGGTATATACGCAATTGCAGGACAGTCACCTTAGGTGTGTCGAGAAGGCAATCCTGTAGATCCAGTTTCTGACCTCGCGAAGCCATCTTGCCTGCAGTCTAGACCACTTCGGAATCTCCCCCTGCAGAGCTACGGGAGACTTGTGTTGTCTTGCCAAGCGACTGAGAACAGACAGACAAACGCACACACGGAAGTCAGCAAAAGCAGCAAGCTGACCTTTGCCCTCTGTATCTGCTGAGTGTGCGTTTTTCTGTCGTCAGCCAGGGAGGATCGATCCAGAGCTTACGTTTCGTCTTCAGCTGCAATGTCAGTGAATAATGTATACTGTCCCCATACCTCTCGTAGTGTGTGATTATATGTGAGCAAGTAGCCCAACCTCGCATCAGAAAACGTTTCGCTGTATGTACTGTACAGTTGATGCAGGGAGCTGGACGGCCTGTGGCAGTAGCCGCTCCCTGGTGGCAGCTGGTGAAGAGAGTGTGGGTCATGGCAGCCGCGGCACACTTCCTCTGGTCCCTCTTACCTCAAATCTTCCTCCTGTTCCCCGACGGGAGACGCTCGGGGGGCCACGGGGGGCTGGAAAATGTAACGAACAGGGTCCCCCTCTCCTCGCTGATGCACCGCCCATTTTCAGAAGAGGAGCGACTGGCGATGAGAGAGGAAGCGCGCAAGATGTTTTACTGGGGATATGATAACTATATGAAACACGCCTTCCCAGAAGACGAGTTGAACCCTATTCGTTGCAGGGGCAGAGGACATGACTGGGAAGATCTCGTGAGAGTATAGAGTCTGCAGAGCGCAAAATGCTTATGGTGTACAAGTATGTTTGCGGCCATTAGCAAAATTTGGTGCTATTGCCTGCAACAGAATAGTGCTCAGGTGGTACGTACATAATATAGCTGCTAGAAATGTTTGACAGATTGGTGATCCCGAACGCCATTATGCAGATATATATACACATGGGTTTTCATCATCATTGCAGTCTTCAGTTCAACCAGTCCATTGTGTCTGTTGCAGGTCCAATACGAATGTGAACGATGCACTGGGAGACTATTCCCTGACCCTCGTGGACTCTCTGGACACTCTGGTCATTATGGGCAACACGTCTGAGTTCAGGAGAGCTGCTCAGCTGGTGGTGGATCACGTCACGTTCGATAGATGTACCACCGTTCAAGTCTTTGAGGCCACCATTAGGTATGAACAGTTCACTCGAGTGCAAAGCTTTTGACTAAAGGAGCTATAGATTACATCATGTTTGATAGATGATGTATTACACCACCGTTCAAGTCTTTGAGGCCACCATCAGGTACAGACAGTTGATTGAAAAGCTTGATTTAGAGTATGGGGCACAGCTTAGATCGTCGATGAAGTTGAGGCAAAGCGAAGGCAAACAGTACGACAGACAACTCTTTTTTCCAAAGAAGATTTTTGATCCGCATTAACTAGAGCCTCAGATTTGGTCTCACCTCCCTCTTTTATCTCTCTCTCTCCTCTCTCTCTCTCTCTCTCCTCCCTCGGTCCTGCCTCCTCCCTCCCCAGAGTGATGGGCTCCCTACTCTCGGCCTACCTCCTCACCCAGCCCCATTCCCACTCCTCCCCCCTCTCCCTTTCTCCCCTCCTGCCTCCAGACGACCCCACCTCTGAGAGACTCCTGGAGATGGCCCATGACCTTGCCATCAGACTCCTCCCTGCATTTGAGAATACCACCACTGGTATTCCTCATCCCAGAGTAAGAGCATCGTGAATAATACGTATGTGGTAAGGGAATTCTCAACAAAAAGGTAGACTCGGTTTACAACAATGTCGCAGTGACCCGTCGCACCATGCACCTTCGCGAATATAGAATATTCTTGACATGGCGTGATGGAGCATATTGCGACAATTATGAACCTAACCTAAGTCTACCTTTGTGTTGAGAATGCCTCTTGCATAACGCCTGCCTTAGTGGTCCTGCTACCACCTCCTGCACAACTATATACACATGTGTTTGGACGGTCCTCCTTATTAATGCTGTGATGATTGAGATGTAAGGGGGGCTTGTGATCCAAACACGGTGTAAAAGATTAGAAGAAGTATGGTATATACCTAGCATCATAGATGTATGGGGCTATGATAGGGAGTTTTGTTCATCTTCTTCTCCTTCTTCTTCTTCAGATTCAACACCCATAACTCAAAAACGAAACAACATAAAGTAATGAAATTTTGTAAGAATGTAGATATCCATCACCCGAAGAGACTGGTCATACTTATTTCTTTGTTGCCGAGCGCGTTAGCGTGAGGCAACTACTCTGGGTTGTATTCTCGCGATATACGTACGTACGTGTCCGTCACGCTATAAGATGTCAATTAGTCACGTTAGGAGATGTCAATTTAGGAATGTCAATTTCCGCCTGGCGGCAGATTCGTAGGAAGTCTGGCTTCGCGCGCAGTCAGAGAGCGGCGCACAGAGTGGCCTCAGTCGACTGTTACGCATTGGCTGGCGGCGCGAGCAAAATATGCGCGTGCGCATTCCTAGTAGAAGTGATAAGTGTGAACTTATAACCCTACTACTCCGAGGTGTGTAGCGCACAGGCCGCCATGTATGGTTATGTAGCTCTCCACTCTCTCCTAGAGCCAGTACAGAATTTGGTATTCACTGCATCTATATGAAGAAAACCTATCACGCACTCGACTGCCGAAACAGCGGAAGAAAGGGAAGCACGACTAGCGAGACGTCGTTGTACGAGCTATAGAGTAGAGCCGCCGCTGCAGAATCATTTAGCCGTAGTTGCGTTTGGTCCCATCCTTTGATCTGGTCGATATACTCGTGACAGCCCGATCCTTGCAATCTGATGGTCTGATGGATATGCTCTTGGTTATGAGACAGGAGTTGCTGCCACCAAGGTTCGACTCCGGCACACTGCTCTTCTCTGGTCACTCATGTGGCAGCACAGTCAGTCGTGTGGGACTACAGTATAACGGTTCCGGTGGTCGCTGAGATCGATCCCCGGGCTTGGAGCAGTGGTAGGGGTTCTAGCAGCACTCGCCTGGACTCAGTCTCGTGTCCACGCTCCTGCGTTACCCACACATGCTGCTTGACATACTGTCAGTGTCCCCGCTTCAAGTCACGGGCATGATGGTCCACTTGTCCAGTGGAGTTGCTTTTTTAGTCAACGAATTACCAAAGTTATCTTTATCCATCCGGTCTTATGGTCATGAGACAGGGGTAATACTGCACAAAGAAGTGTAGTCGTCCTCTAGTACTTGTGTAAGTTCTGCGAGTTGAAGCATAGCACACACAACTCATTTCATCGGCTTGAAGTACGCACTTACGAATAATAAGTGCTGATATATCGCCCTCTAGGCCCCAGGGACGCGACTATTCCAGAGAACAGATCGTATGTTGGCATTAGTCGCAAGCTCTGCTTCGGCTAAAAATTTCTCACCAGTCATAGTCTCATTGAGCCATCATCATACGGAGTAATATAGAAGTAACTTTGTAATTCCAATAAAAACACTCCACAGTACAGTGCCAGTGAAGCGGAGTCAGCTGAGCACCGAAGTGTAGATGAAAAGTGTTGGACTGACACAGAAATAACACATCAATGGAGTGCATTGAATGTGTGTTCCACATTTTCTACACTTTCAGTGCTCTCTACAAATATACTGTCATCTTGTCTATGTACATATTTGATTTCTCCTACTCAGGTGAACCTGTGTACAGGAGTGGCAGTGACGGGGCACCTGAGACTTGTTCGGCTGGTGCAGCATCGCCTGTCAGTAGAGTTCACTCTCCTGAGTCGACTGAGACCCCACCATACGAGAACTGGCTCGCCGAGCTGTGAGGGCTCTCTGGACAATGAGACACCTGCCACCGGCTGGTTGGTGAGTACTGAGGAGAAGGAGGGAGAGGGAAAGAGGGGAGGAGTGTAGTAAGGTTATGCTGGCAGCGCTGCCAGTGACCTGGTTGTGAGTTAGGAGTAATGTAGAGAGAAGGCGGGAGGGAAGAGGGCGGGCAACGACTGCTGGTTAGTTAGGAGTAGTAGTGAGAGAGGAATGTAGAGAGAAGCGGAGAGGGTTGGGAAAGGTGGACCTGGTTGGTGGAGTTAGAGTTATGGAGAGCAGACGTGGGAGAGGGCGGGAAAGTGTGAACGGTTTGGTGAGTAGGCGTGAGTGATGTAGAGAGAAGGATGGAGAGGGGCGGGGAAAGGTGAACTGCGTGGTGAGTTAGGAGTGATGTAGAGAGAAGGAGGTGGGAGAGGGCGTGAAAGGTGGGACACTGGTTGGGTAGTTAGAGTAGTGTTGTAGAGAGAAGTGTGAGAGTGCGGGATAGTGGAACTGTTGGTGAGTTAGGAGGTGATGTTAGAGAGAGCGAAAGAGAGAAGGCTGGAGAGGTGGGTGAAAGGTGGACCGCGAAAGGTGGACTGGTGTGAGTTAGGAGTAATGTAGAGAGAAGGAAGCAGGAGAGAGAGGGGTGAGTTCCGGGTCTGAGGTACACGAGAGGAAAGAGAGAGAGAAGGTTTTAAGGAAAAGGGGATAAGAGAAATCCTTACCGAGGGGGGAGGATGATAACAGATGCTGCCACAAGGCTGGTGAAGGGAAGAGAGAGAGAGAGGGGGAGGATGATAACTGACCCTGCCACAGGGCTGGTGAAGGGAAGAGAGAGAGGGGGGAAGATGATAACTGCCCTGCCACAGGCTGGTGAAGGGAAGGGAGAGGGGGAGGATAACTGATGATGCCACAGGGGGCTAGTGAAGGGAAGAGGGAGAGGGGGAGGATGATAACTGACACTGCCACAGGGGGCTTGTGAAGGGAAGAGAGAGAGGGGGAAGATGATAACTGACACTGCCACAGGGCTGGTGAAGGGAAGAGAGAGAGGGAGGATAACTGACACTGCCACAGGGCTGGTGAGAGGGAAGAGAGAGAGGGGGAAGATGATAACTGACACTGCCACAGGGCTGGTGAAGGGAAGAGAGAGAGGGGGAGGATAACTGACACTGCCACAGGGCTGGTGAAGGGAAGAGAGAGAGGGGGAAGATGATAACTGACACGGCCACAGGGCTGGTGAAGGGAAGAGAGAGAGGGGGAGAATGCCACAGGGCTGGTGAAGGGAAGAGGGAGAACTTTTAAAGGAGAACATTCTTCACTAAAATTACACGAATAAAGCGTGTTCAGACATTTCTGAAATCTTCAAGATTATTTTCCCTTTAAAGTCTCCCAATCTGTGGTAATCAATCCTTCATGGACCTGTGTTAACACACTGCCTCTTTAAGGGAATGTGATAAACGTCCAGACTGGTCAGTGGACCGGCAGAATGAGTGGTCTCGGAGCTGGCATCGACTCCTTCTACGAATACCTTCTCAAGGTTTGTACGGATTATCATTGAGCGCTGTGTACAAGGGCTCGTGTTTATAAGACTGTTGCGTTTTGCGTGAGAACCAGTCACAATGTGTAGTTCCATTTTTCAAGCCCCGTGTATTCTGAACTTAGCCCTCCCCTTCGCGCCTCGCCCCTTTTTGCACTCTGCGCATTCGTCCTCCTTCTCCTTCCCGTCTCTCTTGCCGTCGTCTTCCCTTCGTGTTTGGCGCGGCCGGAGGCCTTGCGCGGTTCTCCAGCTGTCTGCCGTGTCATGCCGTACCCTCAGGAACACCAGTGTGTGCGGAGAGAATGCTGTACTATGGATGTGTCCGACTACCGTATGGCTGGAAATTTTAGCAGGTCTCTTCCCCGCTAATAACTAAACTTGAAATTGTCGTGGAGATGGTGCGTAAAAAACTGCGCGAGCAGTATGAAAGTTAAAACGGCGAACATTTATTCTGGAGGCCCTGGAGGCGATTTCGCGAATTTTGTACATACGCTATACGGTAAGAAATGTCAGGTAGCTCATTGCATATTTCGCCCACAGTCGCAGCTGTCGTGATGTACTGCAGCAGGAAGATGGTCTGCAAAGCACTCCATACTTTGTAAATGTGGACTACTCCACAGCCAGAGCCCTCAACCACTGGATGGATGCCCTCTCCGCCTCATTTGCTGCTGTTCAGGTTGTGTATTTACGTACTTTGAGAAAAGTTGGCGAGCTAACCTAGTGGTTTGAACTTTCATATCAGTGCATCGTTCAACTGTGCATGTGTCTGGATCATGCGCTTTTAAGTAAAACGGTGTTCGATTTTTGTGTAGCTTTGGCTCCCACTCCCCACGCACCCAAGTAGCACAAAGGATGGTGTGTACATACAGAGGGGGGTGCTCCTGGGTGGGTGTGGTTGATTTGTTTGCTACTCTTTGTGAATAAAGCTGCATGTCTAAACTTCTCAAAAATGCGGGAAGTTTGTGGTAACCGGATATGTGCACTATGTGTACAAGTATAAAGGTCCTGGGAGGAAGTGTAGTGAGTCATGATTATGTGCCACTCCAGAGGGTGAAGTCCCTGGTTAATACCCCCATACATTTATGCGCCCACCAGTTTCGACAAAATGTGGTTTGAGGTCTGGGAGGGACACTTTAAGTGCTGCGTAATCCTACGTAGGGGTGCACCAATGCCAGATAGTCCACTTATGTACGTATTCATATGTACTGTAGTGAAAACGATAGTACACATTCAGTTTTTGTCTGTATTGTTTGCAATGTGGCTGTTCAATGTGGTTGAATATGAAGTAACTGTACTCATTAGGACGAGGTCACTGATTGCGTTTCTTCGACAAAACTGCAGTCTGTGACAAAAAATTTGTTTGTTTACGAACCTTTTCAGTCGCAAGCAGCCATTGAAAGGTGACAGTCACAACATTTGCCCACCTCTCCCTCTACCTACGTATACATACCTCTCCCTCCTTCCTTCCCTCTCCTTTTTCCCTCTTTTTCCTTCTCTTTTTCTTTCTCCCATCGTCTCCCTCCTTCCCTTCATTTCCTCCTTCCCATGGATTCCCATAGAAATTTTCGGCTACAAACGTTTGCAAGAATTAGGGATGAGAGGTTTTTATGCACATGCACAACTGCAGACAAACATTTGCTGAAACCAGCGCATTTATCAAATCACTGCTGTGGTAAGCTGTATTCACCCATAGAGAGGCACAATAACCTCAGAAACAGTATAATATTGTTATGTTGTGCAACGTCACACTATCATCACCGTTGTTTTTTTTACGCTGTGTGACATCACAATAATTATCTCATCTCTTGTAGCTATAGCTATTTAGTCAAAATATCTTGACTGTCTTGTTTTTCTATGGCCCAGTTGTTTGTGTATATATGCAGGTTGTAAACATACGTATATGCCTTTCATTGATCTTGCATCCCTCTACAGTATACAGTATGTAACACGCTGGTAAGTTTAGTTCCCCAGACCGTCTGTGGGTATGTGTACAAACAGTCTCATCCTAGAGTTATATACTCCCTTTTTTATGTTTGACTCGAGTGGGTGTATTGTCTTTGACATGCAATGCGGAGGAAAGATGCACGTAAACATTTCCTCTACGAAGTGAGTAGTATAGTGTGTATACCTCTTTTATCCTTTTACACAAACGTCACACAAATGCTGATTCATGCAAACATCAGTGGCACGCCCTGATGCATGCATACATGCATGACACTTGGCTGAGCTCACACAAAGGCCACCTGTCTCTTTTCTTCTTCCGGTCAATTGTCTATGTATCCATTAACTGCATGAAGACACCCCCCAAATCAGTACTTCCCCCCCCCACGAATGTCACACAAATGCTGATTCATGCAAACATCAGTGGCACGCCCTGATGCATGCATACATGCATGACACTTGGCTGAGCTCACACAAAGGCCACCTGTCTCTTTTCTTCTTCCAGTCAATTGTCTATGTATCCATTAACTGCATGAAGACACCCCCCAAATCAGTACTTCCCCCCCCCACACACACACACACACACACACACAACCTGGTAATGATGGAGAAAGCAATACTGAGCAGACAGTGCTCAATTTGCTAGGTGCGGGGGTTGGTGCATGTACGTACATGTATGTATAGGCATTCAAAAAGCCAATTTATGTGACCACAGACAAAAGTCACTCAATCCGTAGCACTTGTATTCTTTTCTTCCCCATCCACACACACACACACACACACATTCGTACACATGTACTGCTGCAGGTTCTAGCTGGTGACATAGAGGAAGCAATATGCACACATGCAGTGTACTACTCCATCTGGCGGAGGTACAGTGCCCTCCCTGAGCGGTTTGACTGGAACACCAAGTTGCCCAATGTCAAATTCTATCCTCTCCGGCCGGAGCTGGTCGAATCCACCTACCTCCTCTATCAGGTGACCCCGACACTTTAGGAGGATTGCTGCAGATCAGTGCATTCTGCTTTCTTGATTATTTCTGTATATTCCTGAGTATTAGTTGCTCCCTTTTCACATTGCTGAAGATTTTCAGCCTGCGACTTATATTGTGGGTTCACAAAATAGTTGCTGTTTTTATGCATTCTCTGCTGTGTACTCTGTGGGCATAAAGCATTGAATGGCTAGCAAAGTGAGCCTCTACAGCGGCTATACAACAAGAATGCCAGCAAATCCATGACCTCTACATGTTCGAACACAAGTGTGACTTTACTCCATGAATTATACTCTGGAAAATGCGGTTCTGCGATGGAAGTGTGGTGATGTGCAGCAATAAGCGCGTCCGAAGCCTGCCTAGGGCCTTAGGGCTGTTGTGTTCCATGTAGAACAACTTACTGCCTGATTGTGTGTTATTGCAGTAGAGCTGAAACACATGAATATATTTTTTTTCTTGAGAAAAATGTAACATACACCAAGTGCTTGTGTCAGTATTAGGAACCGGTGATGACGTTGGATCACGAAAGTTGTTTTCAGAAAAAAATCCTCTTTTTTGTTGAACGTCCCATTCAACCAGTTGCTGACACCACAATACAACATCCCTGTGTTTTCAAACTCTGTGGCCAAGGCCAGAGCACCTCAATGGCTATATACACAATCCCAGCTTGTGTAGGTGTATAGGTGGTAGTGCAGGTAAGATACTAGCAGCAGCAAGTCTTCCCTTAGACTTCTGGGCTTTAAGAACTTCCGTAGGTGTGTAGAGTATAGCACACTTGAAGGAAGATGGAGAGAGAGGAAGGGGCAACTTTAGGTGGAGATACAAACATGTAATGAAAATTCGGGTTACTTCGCAGAAAAACAAATAAACTCACTACTCAGGTGATAGAAAAATCATTTATAGCTGTAGGAAGTTTCAAGTGCAGTAAGAAAAAACTTTCATGGTTGGCGTACACGAATGGAAGGACAGGCTAACACACCATCTGAATATTTTGACTATAGCTGGAGAATGCAGTGCAAGCCACCTCAATGTGATGACCTAGATATTGTATGCATATGCTGGTAAAGTGACCTAAATTGTTCGTACTTTTAGACTTTATAAAAAGCTGGGCAAAACAAAGTCGCTACTTGGTAGTCACTAGGAGATAGCAAAATCATAGTTGTAAGACAAGTTAACCAGGTATGTCTAGTAGGCGGGTCCAGTCAATCTTGATAATCTATTCACAAAGTACAGAGTGTCATCTGAGGTGCAGTGAACCCGGTACATTATCATACGGCTAATAGGGGTTAAGCTGGCTTCTCCTATTGTCAGCAGAAGAGCTGTCCAACTGGGATGTGTGTTTTGAAAGAGGCGACCTCGTTGTTTACTGGACACCAGTCTCAACAGGATGGACACCTGTGTAGGCCACTGGGTTTACTGCCAGACCCATATATCTGTTACACCTCCAGTAGCGTGTATATAGAAGTGGTGGTACATTAATACACCACTAGTGTGGGTTTGGGTGTGTGTGGCTGTATTGAAGTATTCTGTGTTTACACACCAGAAAGGAAATGTCATTAGCACTGCACTACAATATTGATCATGTTGCAGTTGATTCACTATACCCTTAGACATGCAGGTACACATTACTAATGGAGTTAGCAGCATAATCAATACTTCCTCCCTCCCTCCCTCCCTCCCTCCCTCCCTTCCTCCCTCCCTCCCTTCCTCCTTCCCACTCTTTTTCTCTCTCTTCCTTTCTCTGTGTCCCTCAGGCCACTCAGAACCCATTCTATCTCCATGTGGGCAGTGATATTCTCCACAGTCTTGAGAAATACACAAAGACAAGGTTTGCTACTAAATCTTTGCTCTAAAAGTCCACTTATACACGACGCTCATTGTTATCCAGTTTGATGATTAGCTCAAAAAAGATGGAACGAGTATACTGTCTTCATCAGTTGCTCAATGTTGTGTAAAAAAATTGACAACTTAATTTGAAAGGGTTGTCAATCTGTGTCCAGCAAGAGCTACTCATGATTTGATATTTATGGTTGTTCCATATTATTGGTATACTCTGCTCAAATAATCCACATGTGTTACGACAACTTACATAGTATATACCTAGACTACTGATGACAAAAGAAGAGCCGTAAAAATGTCAAAGTTTAGGTTCCTTCCCTTTAGTCTTCCTGTTTGTTGGAAGGTTACTATTATGTACCATTTGGCCCGGATGACCTGTGGTAAAAATGAATAAAGACCGCAGATTTCCTATTCTATTCACACTTCATGGGCTCCCTTGTCTGCATGGGAAGTGCTGTAAAAAACGCCGGAGAATATCAGACAAGAACTGAATTACTCAAAACCTATCTGTCCTTCCAATCCAAGAGCGTTTCAGACGATAGCTAGTAGATAGTGTTGCGATACAGGAAGCAAATACCTCAGTAGATAATTTGGATAGAGTTATCTGCCTGTCTTGGGCTAGCCTAGGTACAGTGGTACAGACAGTGATTGGGGTAAGAATCCCTTAGCATCCAACTGATAATATATGTTGGTAAGCTGCCTTCAAATAGGGCTCCACACATTACTGTAGGGTATATGCTTCAATGGGAGGGAAGAAGCGTGCCTTTCGCTACGTATATGTATATACAAGAGATTATGACCACTTATGTCCAGTGTAGATTGAAACTCCTGAAACCACCAGAAACATGAAAGTTCCCCCTGTAGTGTGTTAGCTGTAAGGTGTAGTGTGAACTGAGGGAGTATTACCAATCTTCCCACAAAGCCCTTTCACCTGAAATCTGAAGCAGAAAATACAAATGTTAGGTCTACAGGTGAAACTGGATGTTAGAAGTGTGCAATTCATTTAACCCCTTTGGACGCCATGGGTATCTTCTTAAATAAGCAGAATTTTTGTATTATAACCCCCATTTCTTATGGACTTATGGAGGATCTGGACACATTTGGACACATTTATGTGTCTGAGACTGGTTAAGTGTTAAGTAAATACTTACTACATGAATCACTTATGAATGCTAGCCCTTCTTGCCAAACAAACTTGTCGGAATGTGCTTAGTTGACCTGCATGTATGGAATGGTGGCTGCCTGTGCGCAGTTGCCGACCGTTGTTAGTAATAATTATACTTGAGGGAGTGGGGAAGACCAGCTTTTGTCTTGGAGTCGTACGTAGCTCAATGCGTATTATGGTGCACTGGACTTCCAGTCATAACACAGAGTTTGACTCCTGACAGAAACTGCATGGTTCTTCTTCCTTGCCTGTGTGCTTCAACTATCGTTCACATGTTGTCAAAATACTTCCTCCAGTTGTGGCTATGCCACTCTTCACGACATCACAACCAAGACCAAGGAGGATCGAATGGAGAGCTTCTTTCTCAGTGAAACTTGCAAGTACCTCTACCTGGTAAGACCTGGGAGAACTCAAAACATACTCACCGGGGACTACATTTCATTTCACATTGTTCTGTGTGAATATTAATTCTCTTTTCTCCCAAGACAACTATGAAGTTGTCAGTGTGCGTGTTTCAGATTTTCCGCGTTTTGGTATCTTTCTCTTCTCTTTTTTATTCGAATTCTGTAATAGTATAATGCTAGGTAGGTACATACAATCCAGTGTATGTATGTACACTTACATTAGGCTATACAGAAGGAGTACGGAGGAAAAGGGTATTGTGCTTCCGTTTATTCAAAGGCAACCCCACACACCACTGCCAATGCAGTATTGACCACATACAATCATCCTCCATCATGGTGCATTACTCCTGCAGGAAACCAAAACCAAACATGTGGGTATACGTACGTCTTTTGTACACTTGGCCTCATGCAGCCCCTAAGTTCCCACAGACAAATGCACAGCACGTTAGCTTTCCCAATCAACATACTGTGAAGTAGAGAGCCGCACAATCGCAATCTGGACTTGTGATAATAGTAACTCCCATTCAAACTCCTTTCAGCATAGCACGTGCCTATAGTAGTATTAACCTTCCAGTTTGGTCAATAATGCTTTTGAGAGCAAAACATGGCCAAAACATTTCGGCTTCTCAGTGAGTGACACAACACCTAAGGGAGGCCGTGCATTATTGGCATGTACTTTTTGAAACTGGACTACTACCTAGAGACATGCGCTAGAGCGCAAGTGGTAAATCTGTCCACATGTGCCACCATGCACAGAGTTACTTGAAGTTTGCCTTTGTACTAAATCCTGCTGACTCCTGCCAACTTAGCTGTCCTGCACTGCCTAGAATGCTGAGTGACATCGGCTTGAATCACCATTCAGGACAGCTCTTAATTTTGTTTGTAAAAAGGCTACCCTGACTGTACTAGTTGTGTTGTTTTGCCTTGCCTTTGCTTTGCGTCCATGTTGTTGAAATACCACTTTAGCTCTCCCCCTCCCTTCCCCTACCCATACACATTCACAGTTGTTTGATACGGACAACGTTGTCAACCGCTATTCGGCTCAGTTTGTGTTCACGACTGAGGGCCACGTGATTCAACTGGACCCAGCACTCAGACACAGACCGTGGGACAAAGACACGTGCCACGACTGCTTCTTGGACAACAGGAGAGCCATTGCTAGAATCAACGAGAGCTTTGTCAGCCACTCTGTGAGTTTTTTTCTTTCGATAAGTTTCGTTGGAGGTTTCCCGTACGTTCTGTATGGATAGTGAAAATAATCTAACAATGTGGTTTATTATAATTATATGCTGTACAGCCCTCAGTATCAAAGTGTGAACAGTTGAATTTGTACTGCAGGAGTAGCAATGTGGGAAAGTTTTCTCTGCGAAATTCTGTTTGTGCTGAAGTTTCCTCCTCGATCAGAGGGGCAGGCCCACGCTGATTCTAGCTGCCCCTTCTGACTTACGTATAATGGTAGCTCCAGTGTTGGCTGGAGGACACCACAAATATTTTGTGGTTGAGATAATACCAGTTGTGGTATGTCTTCTATTTGCTGCTGGTCTAAGGCAAGGGTGTTACTTCTCCCAGAGTTTTGGTTGGCAGAGCTGCCTCAAAGATATCTGCTCCTCTTTGTCTAGCAAACACAGCCTCAGGAGCTATACAGTCTTCCTGTGTCTCACTACAAAGGTGTATACTATGTGTGATAGAGGCCTTGCATGATTGCCATATGCAGCTGATGGTATGCAGCACATATGGCACGCAGCTACCTAAGGATAGGGTTAGACAGGGCATTACTGAACTCCAACATGTGCTAGCGACCGAAGATAAAATGCAGTCAATTTCTCCAATAAGTGTGATTTACGTTGCTTATCAATACACACGTGCACACACTATTACACGCTCAGTGTCCGGTGTATGAGCAAGAGAGGAGATATGCCTTGCCCCTGTCTCGGCAGAGACTGGGCGAAATAGAGGCTCTAGTCGGACTAAAGAACACACCAGCCACTCGTTCTGGGGGTGGGGGGTAGCCACTATCTGTGTGTATATTCAAGTGTAGGGTTCATTCTCATCAGTCACTCTTGTATTTCTATTACGAATCAACAGTTGTATGATTATAATTTTAGTGTGATATATAGTCTACTATATACTGTGAAGTAAAACTGGCAGTGTCACAACAACATGACATAGTTTTCTAATGAGTTTCCTATTCCACTTTAGCTATGCTGACCTCAATTGCCTGCATATTTCTTGGAATAGGAATTCTAATATTAATACACAAATCCTCTAACACTTGTTTCTATGCCACGTTATCTGATAGCTGCACAATGTTACATTTGGTGGAACTGAGAGCTGGATTAGTTAGGCTAAACATCACACAGGACTTTCCTGTTCGCAACACAGCAGGCAGCACAATAGTGCAGATAGAACTCTGCATATTCTCTGGTGGTTAAATTCCTTGTGTACATTCTTCTGTGTGCTGTCATGATACTGCAAAGAGCAGATTGGCTAATACTTGGAGGTCTTTTCTGAGCTACAAAGGGCATGAACTTTGTGTACCTGTCTCCCACTCCATCCTGACCACTGCACAATGCTCCATTGAGTGGGCAGAGAGGTCCTTTGCACAAAGACACCTGTGGCATGCTCAGCTTCACTGGCCAGTACTTCCTGTGTGGGTGAGAGGGACACTGCTGCTGAGTATTGAGTGTGGTCTGAAATGTTTTCTTAGCCTCCACTGTCACTGCCCTTTCCCTTCCTGTAGTAATCTCTGATCCCTCCTACAACCTGTTGGCTGTAAGGCATGTCAGTTTGATAGCTTTCTCTTGCAGGCATTTCCTGCTGGTGACAACTGACAATACACATCTGCCAACTGTCCGAGAACTCAGATCCAGAAGCTAAAAAGCACCCCTCTGTAAATTCTGATTTGGAGACTGTTTTGCTCGGCAGCCTCGTGTATAATATTATTGTCGAGTGAAGCGAGCCCACCTAGTCGCGTGAATGCGTTTTTTTTCTATTAATGTTCTGACCTGCACTGCTGCAGCACACTGTAATGCTATATGTGATTCTAAATACTCGCAAAACATGCACGAAGAATTAATATACCCTTGCCATAAATGCTATTTTAGTATTTGGTGGAGGAGATCCCCTGCACACGTACTGCGTGTGCATAAGAAATATGAGGTCTAATTCACCATACTATTAAAAGCAACCATTAAGACGAAATGGAAGGGATCACAGATAAATTCATGAGTAAAGGGAGTGCTTGTCCAGTCAATAGGAAGAGGAAACTGTCTATGAATCTGCACAGGAAGTGGTGAGTGACACCCACACACTCCTGACTGCCAGCCTGTCTGGTCCCCAGACACTCAGTAATACTCCAGCATGAGCACACACACACATGTTCTTGGCACTGTTTCTTGGGTCCACTTATGAGGCTGAGAGTTCAGCCATGAGCTAAGGATGTTTTTGACCCCTCGTTACATATAGCTATCCACATTCATTTGGAGGAATCTAGTTCAAAACACATGTACTCAATGGGCTAATGGTGTTGTTCTGGTTGAGTATTAATCTAGATAACACAGAGCAGATAACTATAGTAATGTAAGCGCTGGCACAGAGTCGTCACCGGTTCATGTAACTAAATTTTTTGCCAAAAGGAATATTGTTTTTCGAGTGATAAATAACCAGAAGATATAAAACAACAGATTTTCAAAAGCAAAATGACTCTCCGATAAGAATTTGTGACAACATAACGCAAATGACAGAATTATAAAAACACAACCTGAAAGATCGTAGTGAATTTTAAGTGTTGTTTTGGTTTTGAGAAGTAGTCATGCAATGAGTAGAGCTGTAAGAATTGTTACAACGGCTGGTAAAGTGTAGGTAAGAAGTCTGCTGGCTCCACTATTATGGTATTCATCGGGAGAAGGGTTCTCGTCAACGAGAGGGTCCGTCCGTGTGTGTTTTTCCTCATCACTTGGTTTGCTAGTATTCTGCATATAATATTTCTCTGACGGGACACTTCTGTCAATTTTGTCGCACCAACTCTCCTGCGTCGCATCTAATAGTTTGAGAGAAAAAGCGTTTAGAGTGGGAAGATGGATGGGGTGCATAATGAGATTGCTACTATGTATTCATGTAGATCACTTACTGAACGCCTCGGAGTAGACTCTGAATTGAAAGTTGGCTGTGTATACGTCACAATTTAGGCAGTCCACAGAGAAATTGACTAAGTGTGCTCCAGTCACTGGCACACCACTGCAATAGTCTGCTTTCTGCAGATACAACAAAGATACGTCAAACGTCACTAGTGCTCCAGCGACGTAGGTAGCTGCCGGCTTTACCTTGACTGTCTGTAGCTGCACAGAGCAGCTTTTGTTCTCGCTTCGTCCCAGCTCAGAGATGCTGCAAAATTATAAATCTCTGCTTGACATTCTGTCTACACGTGTAAGTATAGCTTGCTCGTTTTCATGCTCACCAGAGGTCTGGACCTTGCAAGTCCAGCTTCACGATGAAATAGTTTTTGAGGTCCACGCTGCCGCTCGGGACGGGGTAGGAGATACAGAAGCGCGGAGCGTTGGATGTCGTCCGCCCAAAGGCATAGCCGAGCTCTTGCAGCTCGCTCGTGACACCGTCGTCCAGGTTGGGCGGAAAGTCCCACAGACAGCACTCCGGATCGGTGGCGGCGCTCGAGTTGTCGATAGCGACGCTGATGCACCGAATGTCGGAGCACCTGCACTGCTCAGTGGAACCAGTCTGGACACTGCATCCCAGCACTGTTGACGCGGCAAGAGATAGGAATAAGATTGATGGGGCTAGCCGCTACCTTGCCTAGCTATGGTTCTGTTTTGCTTACGCAGTAGGAGTAGCGTCGCGGAGAACAGATATTTGCACTCCATACTCTGGGTTTCTCGACAGTTGAATGATTGCTTGGACGGCCTCTTTCAAATCTCCAGCAGTGTGTCTGATGGACTTCAGAAGGCGCCTTTTGTAGCTGCGTTGCGCGGCCGTTTCTGCATCGCACTCGAATGGGTGTGGCTCCGCCAGATCATGATGTAATCTCCCCACCACCGCAAGTTTTTACTGGACGTCATCACCGACAGCTGGAGTTGGGAGGTCGACCTATATTATTATAGTCGTCCGAATGCAGAAATTTTCTATGTTGTGACCTGCACTGTCGCACTGCAATAAACACACGTGAAATATTGAACTGCTTGCACTCGCTCGCCCCAAAAACATTTGTTCCAGTTTACAACAACATCAAAAATAATAGCCTCACCAGTCCGGCTGAACAGAAGCTAAAATACAGCACACATTCCTATAGACACTCAATAATATTTTATAATGCACACAATCATAATTATATAGGTCAAGTTTCATGGAGGTGTGGATAAATATGTCACGGTCGAGTTAAAATGTCTCATAGAGTAGAGAAAGCTGCAATTACAAAGCTAACAACCAGGAGTGCCGGAGCAACGAGAAGATGAGGGGCAGAGGCCGTGAAGACTTCAGGTTGGCTGATGTCGGAGGGAATGAAGGCTGTGCTTTCTCTGTTGAAAAATTGACTGGGTAGCGTTTCGTTGGCAGAGTCACACCAGTACTCATCCACCGCATCTACATGCAATGATATGGGGTGTATTTGCTTTATCGAATTTATAGTGTGCAAATACAAGAGCTAAAACATAGAGGGTGATGACGTTTAGTGATATGTGCCTTGTGTAGGCAGAGTCGATGATGTCATTGGTTAATATCATACAATCAAGAGGTACAGGCTCGCTCTAACTCATGAACAAGTGGTGAGCACTCTCAACAGGGAATAAAACTCGTAGCTGCCATCTGACTGCTCTACTTTTTTTTTTGCAGTGACACTACATGCTGAGGAATTTGTATTACAAAGACATTCACATCCGCACACATGCATACATTATAACAGTGCACATCCATCATATTGTACGTACAATAATTATACTGATTGTTGAATCACATAATAATGATTACACTCACCAAGAACCTCCATGTGGATTCTGTAGTAGAAAGACGCACCTGCTGAACAGCTTCCACAGTCAAACTGAAATGTGACACTAGAGACTCCTTTATGCCCGTCAGGGTTGCAGAGAACCGGTCCCTAAGGGTGTGAATTTATAAGGGTTGCCTTATTTAGGGGTTGCTTATCAAACAAACCTAGCCGCCAATAAATTTTTTGCATTCTGCAGTGGACCTTAATACTCGTGACAATACAAGTTGTGGTGGAGGAAGCAGTTTTGCGTGTGCATATATAGAGTGAGGGAGGGGCTCAGCATATATACAACTATCCATCTGAAGTGCCGCTAAATGAAGAATTGTAAATACGTCTTCTTGCACTACCAGAGAGAAACTCTGGTTACGAGGTAACACATCAAACTCTCTAAGGGCATCATCTTCAGAACTATTTTTGTCATGAAAATCTCTGTATGGCTTTCTATATATGGGTACCTCCAGTTACTCTCATTACATACCAAAGGTCATTGACACTAGGTACTAATATGGCAGTATTGTCACCCTGTCATATGATGTGCTGGATACATATAGTCAGTAAGGTGTGATGGTAAACTGAACAATCATGCACTAAGCAGATACACAGGATGTAACAGTTAGTAGAGTATATACAAGTCAGTAAGGTGTGATGGTAAACTGAACAATCATGCACTAAGCAGATACACAATATGTAACAGTTAGTAGAGTATAATATACAAGCTGGGCTTACCGCACAACCGTCCTCATCTTCCACACTGCACAGGAAGATACCAGTAAAATATAATCCCAGAAGTAGTCAAGAACACTTACCATATATTTTCTTTGGAATCTATGAGCAACTGTATGTAGGTCTGCCGATTCGGCTCTGGAATATTCACCACCACACAAGGCATAGGGTCGTCGCTTTCTTCACGAGGCATTGTGGCCGTGGTGAACCCTAGTGGAGTGCCTTTGGGATCACTGAGTGATTGTTCGCTAATGTCGATGGGAGGATCGTCCCAGACGCAGCACTGGGCATTGCAGCACAGTTCATTTGTACTCGCCTCGCTACATGAGGCTTCGCAGTTTGGACACTGCTGAGCTGAGGAGCTGCTGGCCCAGCACAGAACTGTAGAATTGAGGCGGTACCTTGTGAAATTATTGCCGGTCTCGCAACTCAAAAAGGGGTATAAAGAAAGGAAAGGGGGTGGCAAAATGCATAGACTCACAAGCGGAGTCTGTTGATAACGACTAACCGCAGTCGTAAAGTGACAAGCTCGCGAAAGACAGCTAGGTAGGTATGTAGCCTAGTGTAGACATAAATAGAAGATGGGTACTTACTGGCTAGGGAGAGAACAATGATCCTGTTCATTCTTCCAACACAGCGTCGTCTCCTAGACTAGGTAGATATGGGTGTGCCGCCGGGTTCCTTTTATGGGAGTATAATTATTATACTCTTTTATGGGCGTGCAGGTATGAGCCCCTCCCACCACAAGTCACATGCCGCGGGGAGAGCCGGTGGAAAAATGAAGCCATTATGTGCCGTTTTTCTGTGGTTGCTGCATTCGCAAGGTAGAGTGTGAGAGTCTGTTTTGCGAGACTGCGGAGATAGCTAGGTATATCTATCTACACACAGCCGTCGATGCATCCCAGCAGAAGTTGAATGAGTTCGTCCGCCACTACGAGTCCGCTTGGGTGAAGGCTCAGTGGAGCCAAGAGACTCCACAGATAATAAAGTCCAGATTCAACTTTAGCACACATGGCAGGTACGGAGTGTGGAACGTTTGTGTGTTGTTCGGACTTGGACTGGTGCACTGGTGTTTTTGCTTGCTAATCTGCACAATAGGGAGTTTAGTGTTTATGTGGAGACCCACACAAGCCTGTTTCATCCTGATCATCATCTCACTGTGGTGAAGGGAGGTAGAGAGGAGGTGAGGGAAGTGGACACCCGTCGTATCGTTTTGGGGCAAATTGAAGGTAACATACCATCATACTCTCAAATTAGAGTTTTTTTGGACTTCAAAGTGATTGCTTCTCTGTGCTGTATAGGAGAGAAGGGCTCTGTGGTGCATGGAGTAATAGTGGATGGAGTCCTGGAAGGTGTTATCTACAGTCGTGGGTAGGAATTGTCTTGCTCAGTACAATAGCAATAATGCTACTCTTTGCAGGGAAACATACCATTTGGAGCCAGCACACAGGTACGTAAGGGAGGTCCCTCTGCACCACAGCTCTATCTGTACACCCACTTGCACTGCAGATATCCAGAGAGGGATGTGGCTGGAGGTGGTAATGCCAGTCATAATGTGGTGGTATACAAGACCAGTGATGTTGTGTATGATTTGGAGCACACTGCCTGCTCCAGTCACCAGTCTCCTAGACTTAGACTAATTCAGGTATATAAACAACAATCCAGCCTTTTATCATCTGACATTTCTAGTGCTCTGAGGTTTTTTGCACTTTAGTGCTTTTCTTGTAACTTGTAAGTCAAGTGTGTGCTCTAACACACACAGGAGGCTGCAAGTCTGTCACAAACCCACCAAGACCTTCTCAGGAGAAGAAGAGCAAGTAATTCAGAGTATAACTAGAGCATATTTCTAGTTATCCTAATTGGTGCACTGCTGCAGTTGACAAAGAGAAGAACACATGTACAGTGAGGATGGTGGCTGACTATGTGTTCTATGACAACATCGGCCAGGGACAGGAGTCTACTGTGAGTATAATTATACCATGATGTCATTATTATGTCATTGGCTAGCTTTCTGGATTTCGTTTCCGCAGACGCTGGAGCAGATGGCGTTTCACGTTCTCAATGCTGACCAGATATACACGTGAGCACTGTGCAATCACCACTGAATTTTCACAGTTTATATCCACAATAGCTAATACCAAGAATTTTTCTGTGTGGGGGTGGGAAGTAGGCAATTGCACCCCTCAAAATGGCTTTGTTCCCTGAACTATGGCTCACATCTTTATAAGCCGCCACCCCTCTAAACATGTTCTAGCTTACCTATGATTGATTGTTTGATTGAAGCTAACGCAATCATACAGGTCCACAGAATTTGTCCAAAGAAATGGTGAAACATTCAGTGGATTTGGACTTGCCATTCATTCCACTAAGGTCTGTCCTATAATTATCATACACCACCAGCCAGAGTATAAACATTGGTTTACACCCAATCACACAGATATATGCAGATCCAAATGACAGGAGCAACCCTTACATCGGAAGTAATTGGTCAGTTGAGGATCTTTTGACTGCCTTTTCACATGAGGTATACAACACAAACTGAAGTCTATAAAAAACCATCAATGATTTTTTGTTAGGAACTCAATGATGTGTGTTTAGGGCATCTCTTCACCTACAATGACTTTAAAGGTAGAATATTATATAGCCCGCGTTCCACAAACTCTTTGTTTTTGTTACAGGAACAATAGGCTTGGCATATGTCGGAGACCCAAGTGAGCCATAATTAATTGTTTTGGCCATAAACCATGTAGTATGGACGATAAATATAATATGATAGTGTATTATGACTGCATATTTTACTATCCAAGCATATTTTACTATCCAAGCATATTTTACTATCCAAATTTCCGGAGTGCTGTAAAGGTTCTGAATTTTAAACTCGAATCTACTTGTAAAGTAGCTTGGCTACTGCTCGTCCATTGAGTTCTACATGCGTTAGATTCCCTCCACGGTTTTTCTTGTAGCACCTTTGCTATATAATGTACGCTTTAAGGGCTGGGATACAAGGGCCCTTTGGGTTTCTATACCTTTTTACTGTCCATTTCTTACTGTCAATGCATGTACCTTTCTTACTTTTACAGGTGGCAGAATACCAGGAGGTATATGCTCAAAGAGGAGTACAAATCTTGGTGGCTCAGCAAAGTAAGTAAAGGTCATGTTACTGTGTGGTTTAAAAAGGAGCTGTTGTATTGCAGCCTCAACACTGGATTAACATCTTTCCTCAACTTTGGAAGCAGAGTAAGAAGAAACTCTATTGGTAACTCTATTGGTACATCTGTTTTCTGCCATTCCACGCAGTTACCCAGAGCTGTCTCATACATCACAGTAGCTCATGAGATTGGCCACAACTATGGCTCCCCAGTAAGCAATCTATTGGCACTCAAACACAGCTAACTTCATCTAATCTCTATACGTACGTACTTAATGGCAGCCTATAGCTACCAGAAGAAGTGTTCTCTCACTAAATGTCACAGTTAAAGGGAATGTGTGTCAGTACACATACGTGCTAATTTATAACTAAAGAACAATATGACGCACTGTAAGAATACAATTAGGTTTCCAAATTTAGCCCTTACATACAACTACGTTCATTTTTACGTCCCTGAAAGCCATCTGCACTTGAAACCACTTTTTTTTAAAATGTACTTTCCTGTTCAGCATGATCCAGCAGGCACGTCCTGTGCCCCCGGAGGCAGCTCTGGGAACTACATCATGTACCCGAGTGCCACGGACGGCTCTCGACCTAACAATAACAGGTTCTCAGAGTGCAGTGTCAAGGACATGGGTGCCACCATTGAGAACAATGGCGGTTGCTTCTTGAAACGTGAGAACTCTGAATTAATACACCCGTCAGACAATTTTATTCTGAGGAAATATCATTGGCGTACTCTTTCATGTGCTTGCTTGCTCATATTCTCCCTCCTGTACATAAGGTCCCAGTCAGCAGGAATGTGGTAACGGAGTGGTGGAGGGAGACGAAGAGTGTGACTGTGGCTCTACTGAGCCTGCCGTCTGCTGGGAGAGGGACCCCTGTTGTACCCCTGGTAATTGCACCCTCAATGAGACAGCCATTTGCAGGTGAGGACTTATCAATGGGTAGTCTTGTTATAATGCTGTGTCCCGTTCACTATCAATTTGCTCATTAAAATTTAGGCCACCCTATTTCTACAGTCAAATTATACCTCTGTCTTCCTCTCTTTGGCTAGGTTCACCGTATGTTGCATTGCCCCATCACGTCGTGGCCGCATCGAGAGCATAGAATCCATTTCTATCTTCACGAAATGACGCGACGTGGCACAGCGTGACAGGGCAATGCGACATAATTGTGAACCCAGCCTTTCTCTCTCTGCCCAGTCCTGAGGCCAGTCGATGTTGTTCTAGTGAGTGCCAACCACTGGAGGCTGGAATCCTCTGTCTCAGAGGAGATGTGGAGATTGGTGGCTGCCAGCAAGCCAGCTTCTGCAAATATCCACTCACATTACATGTATAATATATTGTAATAATGCACAGCTGCAGAAAATTACTGTGATACCAAAACTATACAGAGTGAGAGAGAAGTTTATTAACAAAATAGTTTTGTTGTAGCTACAGCAGTAATTTACTAGACGATTCTTAAACACATCCCTCCAAAATCAAGTTCCCAGTCTACAGTATGTTCGTATGTAGCCCTGTGCTAGTGTTTGATTATGTTGCCTTAACCCCCCTGATCACTGGGACCTCGGCCGCCTGCCCTCCAGGAGACACCCTCGAGGACAACACTCCCTGCAATGATGGCAGCAACGTCTGTGATCATGGAGTCTGCAACGGTATTGTAGTAGCTACTTAGAGAATTATTGCAGGAAGATAGTTGGCAAGAGGGAGCGAGTTAACCTAGTAGTCCGAATGGCACAATTGTTCTAGATAATTCGTTTACTCACATCCCTGAAAATGCAAAATTAAGACCCATTGAGGGGGTTAGTGAGAAAGCTGCAGTTGCGAAACATTTCCATAGAGGTGATATAGCTATTCCACCCTCCAACTATAGTAAAAGTGTAAGGAATAGTTGATTTGTAATTTCGTATAGTCACATCTCTGAAAAAAATGCAAAACAGTTCAAACCCTAAGGCCTTTTAGGAGAATTTTTCGCTGTACGTTTGAGAAACATTGTAGAGGCGAGATAGTGTTGCTATTCCACCCTCCAACTATATTAGAGATGGCTGGTTTGTCATTTCGTTTAGTCATGTCCCGGCTAAACTGTAGGCCTTTTTGGGAGAAAGTTACCCGCTATGCAGTATTCTGCAGTTGCGAGACATTATAAAATTCCATAGAGGCGAGATAGTAATATTGTTATTCCACCCTCTACCTACAGACAAAGTGTAGGGAGTAGTTGGTTTGTAATTTCATTGAGTCACATGTCTGTAAAAAATGCAAAACCGTTCAAACCCTAAGACCTTTTATTGAGGGGATAACGGAGAAAGTTACCCACTATATATGGTATTCAACATTGTAAATTTCAATAGAGGCGAGATAGTGTTGCTATTCCACCCTCCAACTATAGTCGAAGTCTTAGGGATGGTTGGTTTGTCACTTTGTTCACTTTCGTGCGTGAAACAAATGCAAAACTGTTCAAACGTCCTTACATGAAAATTGAACAGCACACTCTTAATGTAAGAAAGGGCAACTATAAAAAGGGCTTACTAGAGGACGTTGACATGTTCACTCACTTTCTCAGGTTCTGCCTGCACTCTCTATAACACCACCGAGTGTTACTGCTCTAGAGAAGATCAGGTATTGTAACTAATACTGTAGCTACAGTGGGAAACTTTGAGGTAAATTTTATGACCTATAATTTATACAAAATTTCACTGAATCAAGAGCCCTCCAAATGTGAAATTTGTAAACCCTCAAACCTTTCCTGCTATTGGTGATAAAGTGTAAGTGATGGAATGCAGATAGAGTGATTGCTATTGCACAGCTATGTGAAGTCTGCTGCGTATTTGGAGGAGAGTGCATCTCTACGTTTGATTGGCCAGAGGCTGAGAACATTACAGTACACCCAGGCTACCCCTGTCGTGACCTCACTGGATACTGCAACCAAGACCTGTACGTATAATATGTTGTTATAATGCTACAGTAACATACGAATATGCTATTATAATGACAACCACACACTGATCTTTTACCTTTGGGGTTGCCTTTAAGAACCCTGAACTGCCTTACCGAGTGTATACATTATCATTACTTTCTTCTGTTATACATGCTGCTTGTTGTGTGTGTGTGTGTTCACATGGAATTTGTTTAATGGGCATAGCTACATGTGGTATTCGTAAAAGGAAAGGCTTCTCTAGTTTCCAAGGACACATAGAGCTGTCTTGCCTTTTGTATTGTCATTGGTGAAGTTTGTATTGCTGCGATATTTCGTCTTTCCTCCTCCTCAGAGAGTGTGTGTATGTGGACAACAATGACATTCTCAATGACCTGCTAGATAACCTAAAGGTATGTAGGTATAAATTTAGGTATATACAGACTCTGCAGAGATTGCTATCTTTCTACTGCATGTCTCTGTGCAGGATCTCCTGTTCAATCTCAAATCTCTGACTCAATGGCTCAAATCGTATTGGTATTGGGTCCTCGCCAGCTTTGGAGGACTCAGTAAGATCTTCATAGAGCTATATAGATTTTGACATCTTTCACGTGCTAATATTTTCCTAGTCATTCTCATCATTCTACTACAAGTTACATACCGACGTAAGAAACCCAAGAAGACAGAGAGGGGGCCGGGAGAGCGCACCGATGGTGGTCGTCCAGTGGGGAGGCGTGGCCAGAGGGGGCGTGGTCAGAGTGGGCACGGTCGGAGTGGGCGTGGTCAGGGGTACCAGAGGAGGGCGGACGAGATCTCACCTCTAATTGAGAGAACGAGTCAAACTTGATAGCTATGTGTCTGTGTGTGTATACAGTCATGAGTGTCTTCTGTTATACATGCTGCTTCTTCCAATGAATTTTTATGGTATTCTACATAAATACATGCATGTGGCTACATGCTGCACGTGCACACAGGGTGAATGTGTGGTGATTATACTCTCAGCAGCAGCAATCACTGTGTGCCATGAGCCGCCTGTATTGTTGCATTGCTGACTGTATACACGCACGTGAACTAAGTGGGCGGATCGGATAT